AGACCTTTAACGTCCTACTGTTCGACTCCAATGGGGTCTAATGTAGACGGGAATACTCCATGGCGACAATTTTGTCGGGAGAGCCGCGTTTTAAACCAGATGTGAAATAAGTCAAATCAAAAAGGGTTTAATATCTATTTCGGTTCTTGGAATTTCAACTGAAAAGGGTTCTTTTGCGTGCACGGCAATGTGTACAAGGGACCTCTTATTTTAGTTTTATTTGAACTGCTGAGTGCTGCCCATTAAGGTCCACCTATAAGTGCCAGCGGCATTGGGAAAAGAGGATAACAAAATGTCGAGGTACGTTCTCGCCTGACACTGGGATCAAATCTCCAGGACTTGCAGGTTAGTCTGCCAGCGCCTTACCCGGTCTTTGTCGACTATAGTAACCATAACGTTATACAGCTAAGTGATCACGGTCGACCGCACTCGACCACAGTAAGAACCTTTTTTGATAAGCGGCATTTGAGTATTTAGTTTCGTATTTAATTGATATGGCCACGCATGCGTGTCAGACAGGAACTTGTCTTGTTAAGGGCATTGAGAAAAACATGTCTTTGTTCAACATTTTTGGACAAAAAATGTAATTTTTTAACGATGTCGAGACGGTTAAAGACTCCCAAAGTGGTTGAAATTCTTATGAATGATTCTGACTCGGATTATATCCTTGACACCGATTCTGAAGACGATATGTCTGATGAAAATGATGTAGAAAACGAGAAACAACATGCAAATTATAGATCAACTTATCCCCTTCAACTTTTTTATTGGTGTCAAGAGTCTTATCACTTATAATTATCCGGCAGTAGACGTTTGAAATAGACATACAAAATATTTCACTTTAGCCTTTATTTAGCCTAACCCCTTGACGTCATGGCGTCAAAATGACGTAGACCGGTTAAGGTTTAAGCACTGATTAACAGGGATGAACTAAGGACGGGCCTGCGAATATGTTAGGCTCGGAGGCCCTGGGGGGATGTTTAGCCTTGATTGAATTTACGTGGGTTTTGATGTATTGGGAGGGGTGCCACCCACTAACTGTGTGCAGAAGCTAGAAACATAAGGTTATACTCTAGAAAGCACAATTTATAGAGTCAATATTTCAAAGGTTTTCTCTCTCACCATGTGGTGGAGGGAGACAAGTAGATGAGTACAACCCCCAGGTCAAATAAATATTTTACAACCTTCCCCAGGACAATTAATGATCATTAAGACATAAATCAACATAAAAGATACGTCATAATTAACATAATACCCTCATCAATTTCTTTCTTGGTGTACAAAGGGCGTTAATCAGATCTGGTGAATATTTGAGGTTATTGTTAGCATAGGAGGGTAATATTAGCTCTTTGTTCATTGGTTGGAATTGGTTCATCTGAAGGAAAACGCATTAATTACCATAAACCAATTATGAATCATCGCTATGGTCACAAAACAATAACCATTTTCAGTTTATTCTGATCCATCATTTTGTGCGTCATGTTGTACCCAGTTGTAATAATGCGTCTGTTCACGGGTATATCAGTAGAAAATACCCACATGTTCAGACAGCCTTTCAGGCGGACAGGAGGTAACTTGGATGGTAGCAAACAAAAATGGCAGTGAAGGAATTGTGTGTTGTGTTGCTCTTGGTGGGTTTTACTTCAGCTCAATCGACAGGAAGTGTCAACAATGGACCACCGTCTTCCAGAACAAGGTCTGCGTCTTCTACAATTTCAGCTACTAATTCAGGTCCTGCCGCTAAAGCGAATTCTCAAACACTTTCCCCGGAGGATATGCATAGGTTAAAACTGTTTCTAGCTTCTTTGCCAGGCTTTACAACGTCTCCAATCTCACAGCAGCCTGTTGTTGCATCTGGTACCAACAGACACCACCAACAAGCTGCGACCCAAGAAACTTTGTTGCCAGTAGCCCATGTGCAAAGGCCGTCTAGTATCCCAGCCAAACCAACAAATACTGTTCAAGAACCACAACAAATAACGCAAAAACAGAAACCAAAGCAATCCTCACAGCAACAGTCACAGCCTCAACAGCCACCAGCACCACCTCAACGGCTTCAACACCCAACGGCACAGCAGCAGCAGCAGCAGCTACTTCCATCAACACAGCACCAGCTACAAGTACAGCCACAATTACAACAACATCAACGTCTACCAATACAGACTGCAGCACAACATCAGTATCACAATAATCTCCAAGGAATGACAGGCTTTCAGAGCAACGCTTTTAACAACCAGAATTACGGCCCTGAGTTGTATGTTAATAATCATATATCTGCCCTGGAAAATCTACATCTCGGCTATTCCTTTGGTCTCAGTGAGGAACAAAAGTTTAGAGTGTTGGAGAACCATAATCACTATCGTTCTGACATAACATTCACTTCAAACATGAACGTTTTGGTAAGTTTATAAAATCCACAACAAAATGTTTCTAAAATAGTTTGGGTGCAGCTACAGCGGGTATGGCGCCAGGCAGGGTAGGCTTACTCTTCCGGGCACCTGTTACCACTGTTTGTCGTGTATTTTGTTCACGGCGAACAGTCCATTTGCTGATTAGACTATTTCGTCTATGCCGATTTTTTAGGACTTCGGATTTTGTCTAATGGTTTGGATTGTTCGTTCCTGGTTTTATTTTATTTATTGGGCTTAATATCGTTCATACAATGCACAGACAACAGCCATGCAACAGTCATGAACATTTTGGTTCTAAAATATCTTTGTATTTAATGCATTTTTTTTCCACAAGACTTGTGGTTTGATCGCTTTTGACTACTAAACTACCTACAAAGTCGTTTAGTTTAATCTGGCGTTTTACCCCATTTTTAGAAAATGGTTAGCTATGAATAGTTTTTACTTTAAAAGGACCATCACGATTTTAACAGAGTCTCAGAAATAAATAAAAGTCCGTGTACGTATCAAATTTAAGCAGAAAAATATAGAGGAATGGTGTATTTAATATTGAGTCGTTTGGACGTGAACGTCAAAACCACTTATCTAGAAACTTAACCCGTTTTAGATGTCCGGTCAATTTTTTTGTTGGATGACCTGGTAATCTATTACCGATTATTTGGAGGTCAAAACAGTGTGTGATACATGTGCTGTACTTGATAACCAATGGTAATTTTACCTACACGTTATTTTTATAAAAATAGTCTGGTTTTATCCAGACACCGTATAATACAGCTTGGAACACCGGTCACCATTTCCAGATGAAGACTGGCGGGTTTAAGTTGTTTGAAAACGTATCATCTATATTGAGTTAGTTGCTCGGCCCTAAGAAAGGAGTTTTAGGGGCTTTTCACACAAAATTAAGCAGTTTTATTCTCCAAAATATAATCGGGATTGGCCCTTTAATGTATTATTTTCCACAATAACTGTGGTTTTATCACTTTCGACAAATAAACTATTTATAATGTCCTTTAGTTTAATTTGGCGTTTTAACTCATTTTTTTTTAAAAAAATGGTTAGCTATGAATATTTTTTTGTTTAAATATACGTCGTTGTGAACGTGTATCTCTAGTCCCTGCTAGATCCATTATATCTATGTATTTGTTGTTTGAAATATTGTTGTATAGTGTGTGTCCATGGGTTTGTTTTATGTAGTTGTTTATGCGTGGTGCGTTCCCTCTGCACTTATTCAAGCTTTACTTAATTAAGATGTATTGTAGAAGTGTGGATGGACAGGGGAGTCGATGACCACTATGGAAGGGTAGGAGTGGGGGGGGGGCTTTACCGGTCGGATCGAGGAATGTTTTGAACATAGTCGAGTCTACCATAGACAGAGACTCCTGCTCAGTCCACCCCTGTGTAGAAGTACTGACATGGGTATATTTTTCAACAAAAACATCCGTCTTCTGTTTAAAACTTTAGGTACGTTTGATTTTGTATGTGTAACGACAAGAGTGAGTGACGTCATCGATACAAGTTGTTTATAGTTCCTTTTGTTATTTGATGTGATTAAAGATACATTATAGAACATTAGATAAAGAGTCGACAGTTCTCGCTATTATAGTTAAAAACTAGATAATGAAAAGAGGGTATGCTGAAAATGTTAGTTAAATTGAACCACTCTGAACCGAGATATTAGATAAAGAGTTGATTGTTCTCGCTGTAATAGTTAAAACATAGATAACGTAAACTTAATTTGCCGAAAATTTCAGTCAAATTGTTCCATTCTGAACCGAGACATTAGACTTTGAATTTGCTGTTCAGGGTGGAACAATTTGACTGAAAATTTCGGCAAATTCCCTTTACATTAGTTAGTTTTTAACTATTATAGTAAGAACTGCCAGCTCTTTATCTAATCTCCCATAATGTATCTTTAATGTCTCGCTCTCCACCATTAAATCACACTTAACTAACTGGGCTATCTGTGACTTGGAGAAGGTACAGAGTTAACGGTCTGTTTTACCGCTTCCGAAGTGATCTGGTACTTTATCGTCAGGCGACATAAGCTAGCTGTTTTTACTGGTTACTTATCGTCAGGCGACATATAGCTGGTAGTTTTTACTGATTTCGTATCGTCAAGCGACATCAACTAGTGTTTTTTACTGGTTACTTACCGTCAGGCGACATATAGCTAGCAGTTTTTACTGGTTTCGTGTCGAAGGGCGACATATAGCTAGCAGTTTTTACTGGTTTCGTGTCGAAGGGCGACATATAGCTAGCAGTTTTTACTGGTTTCGTGTCGAAGGGCGACATATAGCTAGCGGTTTTTATTGGTTTCGTGTCGAAGGGCGACATGAGCTAGCGGTTTTACTGGTTTCGTATCGTCGGGCGATATAAGCTAGTAGTTTTTATTGGTTTCGTGTCGTCGGGCGACACGAGCTAGCGGTTTTTACTGGTTTCGTATCGTCGGGCGATATAAGCTAGCGGTTTTTACTGGTTTTGTATAGCCGGACGACATAAGCTAGTAGTTTTTATTGGTTTCGTATAGTCGGACGATATAAACACAAAAAACATTTTGATGTATCCTAATTATTGTAATTTTTGTCTTTTCAGAGATGGAATGAAACGTTGGCCGAACGAGCTGCGGCTGAAATAAATTCATGCCTTTACTTTAATAAAGGCAATGGGGCTATCTATGCAATGATCTATGAAAAATATACAGGTACCAGTTTAATTAGTGAAGCAGTAGGAAGATGGGCGGATGAAAAAAATAAATTCCGTCTATCCGTCCCCTGTACTGATGTCAAAGCATGCAGATATTCACAGGTAAGGACGAACCGCAATCGGATTAAAACGCAGATCCTATTTCGTTTCGCTTTTACTTGCCTTCATAACACTAGGGTCTTGAAGAGTTGTTATTTAACACGCGGTCTGTTACGGTTAATTCTTGGCGTGCGATGAACGGAACTGTGGGTAAACCACTAGAAACGTCAACAGTAGGATCTTGATGTTATGTTGTTATGTAACACGCGTTCTGGTTGAAGTGAGGGATTAGCCAATGAAACGGTCTGTTACGGTGAAATCTTGACGTGCCATGCACGGAACTGTGGGTAAACCACTAGAATCGTCAACGCTGATTGATTAATCAATGTCTGACGTCATAGGGTCAAAGGCCTCTGGCCATCGAAAGTGTAAAAAACGAAACGCAATATAGATCCATCTTTTAGCTGAGCCATGTTATTTAACGTCCGCTTCCACCGAAGTGGTATCGCCAACAAGGCGGCGCTGCTATAATACTGTGGAGCCGCGGCGGTTCAGTGAATAAGGCGCTTGCTCGCGCTAACCTGAAGATCCGTGTGTTCATGAGACTGGAGGAAGAGAAACGTAGGACGTTCACCCTATTTCATTTCTGATAACACCATAGTTCATAGGGACTTCGGACTCTGTCCCCTCCACCTTGTCCGTGTTTACAAGAAGCAGCATCTTACATCCCCCCTCCCCCCCAGATAGGACATTTCCCCATAGTATCAATCTTACTGAAACCACGGCCGCGAGTTTTACAATCAGAGATTGTGACACAAACACACTCAAATCAAACATGGCGTCCTCCATGGAAACCTTGACATTGAACGAACCTGGATAGCGCGAGACTTGGTATTCACGATAATCGAGAAATCTGATAGACTTCCAAGCTGGGTCAGTAGCCAGTCGACATTAGTGCCGGAATATGCGGGGTATTAAGTGAAGGGTTTGATCAGATGTGTGGAGTGGTCTAGAGTGTCACGCTTCGACCTCTAGTTGGCCGGTCACCTCTGGCTTGCGGCTGTGGTTTCGATCCCAGGTGTGAGCGTATGTGGCTTGGAGATAGGGGCGCCTTCTCAACCTCGTGGGTTTACTCCGGGTACTCCGGTTTCCTCCCACAGCAAAGACCCCTGCGCGCGTGCGCTAAGATCATTAAAATGAACTTGTCTGCGATATCACCTTCGGTGGAAGCGGACGTTAAACGCTAAGCTAAGAAGATCTATTGAAGATGCAGTAGTCCGGTTCGTGCATACATTTACGACATTGAATCCCGTTTCCATGTATTGCGGACGGTTACAACGAGAAACGATGTACCGTGTGTATCATTAGCAACAAGTTCCAGCGAATAACTGTGTCGCCCCAAAGCAGTAGTATAAGGCCTTTATATCTCGGCGGGGGTGTGGGTGGCTGAATGGTCAAATGGCGTGGTTTTGATTCCTCCGGTTTCCTCACACAACTAAAGACCCCTACGCACAAGAAATAGAATTGAACCATATGTTAGTCCCGAAATGACCTAGTCTGTGTCGAGTAGCCAATAATTACATATACCTGATGTTACAGAGTTGAACTGTTATTTTATATTTATTTATTTTAGATTGTTTGGGCTGAGACAAGAGAAGTTGGTTGTGCCAGACAAACCTGTAACGACATGTCGATGGTTGCTTGCATGTATGATCCTCCGTAAGTGATAATTTCTAAACGGATGCTATAACTCACACGGGACTAAATCACTAGAATTTAGAGTAAGGCGGTGAAATGAAATGAAATTGGGTTTAACGTCCTACTGTTCTTCTCCGAACTGGGCTAATGAAGACGGGCATACGCCATACAGTGTGCTATAAGGGAAATTTTGTCCGGACAGCGGCGCTACGGCCTAATCTTACATCGAATTCCAACTGTCAAGGGATGTTTTACGTGCACGCCAATGTGTACACGGGACCTCGGTTTTTCGTCCCATCCAAACGGCTAGACAGCAAGGGCCCTTTTTAACCCACATGCGTTAACCAAACCTAAAGGATAAGCAACAAAACATATCTAAACGGATGCTATAACTGACACAGGAACAAATCGCTAGGATTCAAGAGTGGTTCTTGTTTAGAGGGGAGTTAGGGGTAGGGGATCCATTTTGTTAATTAACATCCGTTAAAGATAAAACCTGACCGAAAAAAACAACAAAATGTTTCCTTAAAATCTGTCAATTAGATACAATGTCCATGGCAGTGATTCTCAAGTGTGCCGCGAAATTTTGAATGGCACACTAAATAAATTTCTCACAAAAGAAGCCACCTATTTGACTACGCTTTTCTTTATTTAGTTTGAGTCATTCTATGTGTCTGACTAGTCTCTGTCTACGGTTGTATTCCGTCTGTGACTTGTCATGTTTTTATTTTGCAAACTTCAAATATTTTTCATATATATTTCGCCAGGTGTGCCGCCATTTTTTCATGTGTTCCAAGGTGTGCCGTTGGCAAATAAGGGGTTGAGAACCACTGGACCATGGTTACCTCACTCCGTTTGGCGTATAATAAAGGACTCTTTTTTTTAGTTTAATTCATAGCAATGAAATAACAAGAGAATTAACAGCCTACTTTTCAGAGAGAGAGAGAGAGAGAGAAAGAGAAATGGGGTTTAACGTCCACTCGACACAAACTAGGTCATTTCGGGACTAACATATGGTTTAACTTTATTTACATAATTTGCTTGCGCGTAGGGGTCTTTAGCAGTGGGAGGAAACCGGAGGACCCGGAGAAAACCCACGAGGTTGGACAGGCGACCCTACTCCTTGCCACGTACAACCGGGGATTCGAAACCACGCCAGTCGACTCAATGACAGACTTTATGATACAGCGCGCGCACGCTAACCATTCAGCCATCCAACCCCCCTCCTACTTTTCAGAACGAGTCGGTCTAAAGCAGTGTGCTATAACGGATATCAGCGTTCTGTCTACTCTACGTCGGATTCCAAATGCCGAGGAGAATAATAATAATAATAATAATAATAATATCTATTGTTAAACGCCAATTACATCAACGTAGATCTCAATGGGCGGTACAACATAAAATGAAAAACAATTATCACAGAACATCGTGAAACAAAAGATGCACGTATATAAAGAACATTTACGTTAAAATTAGATCCACAATTGAAAGACATAATTCAGAGAAGAGTCTAAGAACAAAACAAAAATTTATTAAATGACTCAAATATAATAATTAAAACTAATAATATGCTATGCTGAAAGGATAAATGATACATACCGTCTGAAATAATGCTTAAGGGGGTAATTTTATTTTTCAGAGGTAACGTCATCGGAGAACAAGCCTATAAACCAGGAAGAGCCTGTAGCAGATGCGCACCTGGCAGCAGATGCAACACTGATAATCTCTGTGAATGGTATGTAATTTCTTAGTTACTTTAATAACGGATACTTATCGGACTCTGTCCTCGATCCGTTACTGACTGGTCCTATACACAACTAATATGAAAATAAAGCCCCCCATCTCGATTCTAGGCTATTTTGGAATCCTGACCGTCTTTTTTTCACCGTGATACATCTTTGTTCGCCACATGTAAAATTTAGCGATCCAAAAACACAAACAAGATTCGTTTGCTCACGTTTCGTTTTTTATAGTTTTATTTGTCTTCACAACACTTGGATTTGGAAGACTTGCTATATAACCCGCATTCTGGTTGAAGTGGGGGATTAGCCAGTGAAACGCTCTGTTACGGCGAGTTCCTGGCGTGCGATGCACATAACTATAGGTAAGCCACTAGAAACGTCAACTCTGATTGATTAATCAATGTCTGACGTCACAGGTTCAAGATCCGCTCGCACGACCCCTGACGCTACCTTCCACTACAACGAAACGAAATATGGATCAGTATTTTAATCAGATTGGTCTAGGCGCAGTTCGTTGTCAGACCCTCCATGCTTCACTACTGATGGGGGAAAGCGAAATGAAATGGGGTTTAACGTCCTACTGTTCTGCTCCTATACTGGGCTAATGAAGACGGGCATACGCCATACAGTGTGCTATGAGGGAAATTTTGCCCGGGCAGCAGCACTATCGCCTACTCTTATATCGAATTCCAACTGCCAAGGGATCTTTTACGTGCATTCCAATGTATACACGGGACCTCGGTATTTCGTCTCATCCGAAGGACTAGACAGCTGTCCTTGCCAGGCCCTCCGTCCTGCACCACTGCACTGACAAGGGGAAACCACGTCGGAAAATCCAAATGAACTTTCTCGGCCAATGCAGGCATCGAACACCTGACCTCCGGGGGAAAGCACACCTGACCTCCAGGGGAAAGCACACCTGACCTCCGGGGGAAAGCACACCTGTGGCGAGACAATGGGATTATAGACAAATTAACAAATGTTTCTTTCTTTGTATTTTTCAGGTAAAGAAATAACAAGAAGACAATCTGATTATTTATATCCTGATGTTTTATTTAATCTTGTATATATGAACTGAGCCTTCAAGTATTGATTAAATTATTTTAATCAAGTATCGATTATGTTTGAATCGAATATCGATTATGTACGAACCAGGTATTGATTAGGTTTGAATCGAGTATCGATTATATTTTTATCGGGTATTGATTATGTTTGAATCAGGTCTCGCGAATGAATCTAACTCTGATGTTCTTTAAATACATATTAATGAAATAAAGTTTCCTAATTTGGTGTTTTATATTCTGGAAAATGAAATAAATTGTTGCTGCCTAAAACATCATCCTCTTCCTTGGCTTACCTCAGAGTGGCGGGTCACCTACGACAATGGGGGCGATTAAATGTCCTGCCCACGGTTCCATTTTCATCCTATGGCTAGACTAGACTCATTCACGGCTGGCTTTTCCCGTATGTCTCCTGTCAGCGATAGTATCACCCTAGCTTGGATAAACTGAATTAAACTTCAGCTATGACAAAGGTCGCCATTTTGTTCCACAAGATTAGACAAAAAAAACCCCCATATTTTGTTACCCTAATCACAATAGAAACAAAAGTTTTAGCCACACCCTTCATATGTGTCCCTGTCTTACCCGACGGTCTAGAGCTGGTGTGCGCGAGATCTTCCTAAGTATGCCGCGAAATTTTGAACGGTACACTAAGAAAATGTGATAATCACGTGATTCTAACTGAGTATTCACTGGTGTCTACTGATGAGTTTATAGCTGTGTCTTTCTTTATTTAGTTTGAGTCATTCTTGTGTCTATGACTAGTCTCTGTCTACGGTTGTATGCCGTCTGACTTTTGCAAAATTCAAATACATATTTAGCCAGATGTTTTTCATGTTTTCCAAGGTTCTGCCGTTGGCAAACAAGTGTCGAGCTTCGAGATCTAGCTGGCCGGTCACCTCTGGCTTAAACAGACGGTGTTTCGATCCCTCGAGGTTTGGGGCGGGGCGAATGATTAACGCGTGCGCGTTGGATCATGAGGTCTGTCATTAAGTCATATGACGTGGTTTCGATTCCCCGCTTGTACATGACAAGGAGTAGGATCTCCTATCCAACCTCGTGGGTTTTCCCCGGGTCCTCTGGTATCCTCTCACTGCTAAAGACCCCTACGCGCAAGCGAATAATTGAAATAAACTTTACGTTAGTCCCGAAATGACATAGTTTGTGTCGAGTGGACGTTATTAAACCCAATCTCTCTCTCTCTCTCTCTCTCTCTCTCTCTCTCTCTCTCTATCTCTCCCACAGAAAAGACCACTGTGCATGCGCCGAATTTAGTAAAATGACAGTGGGCCTGTTATATCACTTACAGTGGAAGCGACCGTTAATTCCCAATTAACATCACAACGACCATGTCGAGCCATCTGGACGTCTGTAGCAATTTGTCACCGCTCAACTCGGTACCAGGTTTGACGCGGTTACCTGGTCATGGTACTCAAGGTGCTCTCCATCGGTTACGCATCTATGTACAAGGTACATTCTCGAGCCTGTAGTGATTTACGTATGGCGACTAGGCCAGGGACGTAACTAGCTCAGAGCAACGAGAGGGGTGGGAAGTGTTCTCATGGGGTGCTGTAAAATTGACTGACAATGTATATCTATTGTTTTTATGATCGACAATTGTTTCACGGGGAAGGGAGGGCGAAACTATTTGCAGGGGGAAAAGCCCCCCCCCCCTTAGTTACGGGCCTGGACTAGTCCAAGGGCTGAAATTGTTCCAACGACCGAAAAAACCCTAGTAGCATAGCCTTTCAGATTTTTCACAACTATGGCCATCTTGAAGTAACATTTTTTTGAAAAGCATGGCATGCGTGTAATTTTGTCACGATTATTTGTCATGTTACTATTAATAGTCCAGTGATGGCGGTTACGTGAGATGTTCAACACGACTCAGGACAGTTATGGTATAAACTCTCACGACTATGCCAAAACAAAGATTGAATAGATGAATAAACTTAAAAGAAAATCACAAAATTAGAAGATTTATTGGAAGCAATAAAACACGATTTCGGCAGTGGAAAACAAGATTTATGGTTATTTTTGACATTCGCTTGTCAAACATTGGCGGCGACAAGAAAGGCAGGAAAAGGGGGGGGGGGCATATGTCCTCTGTTTGCCCCCCCCCCTCCGCCAATTGGGTATCTCGACAATCGGTGCCTGAATGCTGTCAGGCTGCATTTCCGGCCGTATTTTTCAAATTTTTCCAAGGGAGGTCCCCCATACCCTCCCTCCGTAAGGGCTCGCTACTTTGGCGATCATGTCAGGGCCTCGCCAAGGTTCGCAAGTTCGTTCGTTTGACACTTTCCAATCTGGTCGGATAAACTAGTGGTCAGGCGAAAGGCGGTATCTGGTCAGATCTATTTATCTCGACGATTAGTCACTGAAATACTGTCAGACTGCATTTCCGGGAGAGTCCCCCCCCATACCTCTAGTTCAATTTGCACTTTTGCCCCCTTAACCTTGGACATTGCCCCAGCTTTGTCCTTCCAGCCACCGGAGGGGCTGTCAAAACCCTTTTTTTTTCTCGGTATCCACCCAGTTTGCTCCAACTGCTCAAGGCCACTACATATACGTTAGTTCCGAAATGACATAGTTTGTGTCTAGTGGACGTTAACCGCCCCCCCCCCCCCTCTCTCTCTCATGAAAGATGCATTATGTAAGATAAAGAGCATACAAGACATCGGATTGAATAGAATCTTTAGAGACCGATCAGTAATTAAATCTATACCAGATACTATTCCTAAAATTCCACCCACAGTCGTATACAAATTTTTACCTCCAATTCGTAATAAAATATTTAACTACCATGAAACTATTGTAAACTTTAACGTACAAGAATTTATAAACAATTACGATAATACAACATGTCAATGCGCCAACTCTCCTTCTAAAGATAAGTTTCATGACCATATTGATTTCATGTTGAAGATAAAAATCTTAAAAAACCTTTTCCACTTTGGTCCACAATTTCGAGAACAACCAAGAAAAACTAATTTCACAAAGTTACATAATTATCTAAAATCTCAAATCAGGAAATGTATAGTAGCTTGGTTTGGTAGATTTCGTGCACCTCTAGAATATTTTGGAGAATGGAAAAGCGTGGTTTTTGATCTTTTGTCAAAGAGAATCCAGTACTTGTATATAAAAAAAAAACCCAAGACGCCACCCATCTGCGATCCGAAGAACAATACATCTGCAGCGAAATGCATTGCTACTCTTCAGGAGAGATTTTTTTCAACACCTGTCGATAAGGCTAGCAACAATATTGCTTTTACCTGTAAAATATACTATTTTAGGAATATTCTTACTGAAGTTGGGCTTTGGCCCAATACCAAAACTGACACTTATAAATGCATTACAAATTTTACATAATCAATATACTTTCAACAGGAGCAATGATATTAAAGATGATGTTATAATAGATGCACTACCTTACATTTATTTTATACCTAAATTCCATATAAACCCAGTAAAATTCAGGTAAGAATATCCTCCAGCAACTGCCAAACAAAACCATTGGTAAAAACAATAACCAAAGGACTTCAATTATGCCAAACACAACATGCCATTTTGGTGCGGAACACTTCGCAATTACATTGGCAAAAACAAAGCCATCGTAGAAACTTTAGATAAAATCAATATTCTAAATCAATAGAAACGTTTGACTGTACCTAAACTATACCTTCCGATACATTGATGACATAACATCTATCAATAATAACGGCACTTTCAACAAATATAAAAGGGAAATATATCCCCCAGAACTAATAATTAAATAAAGAAACTTCTGGCACTATAGACGCGTCTGTTCTTGACCTGAATATTAATATAATTAACAATAAATTTCGACAAAATGGACCAATTTGGCTTTGAAGTAGTAAAATATCCGTCAATTTATAGTAACATACCAGATGCCACGCTATATAGTGTTTTCTATTCACAGGCATTACGATTTCTTCAACCTTCAACATACCAAGTTTGACATTTCTTATAAATATATTACCGACTACATATTGGATAATAATCTAATTTAATAATTATTTTAAATTTTCTGTTGTTTCCTAATCCTATCTGGATTATCGCTCTTAGTTTATGCCTTTATATAAATATACGTTCATAGTATGATTTCTTAAATATACCTTTTTGGCATTTCTTGTAGGTGTATTACGTATTCATTTCTCCAGAATACCTGTTTTGCATTTCTTGTAGGTGTATTGCGTATTCATTTCTTCGGCATACCTGTTTTAAATTTCTTGTAAGTGTATTACATATTATATTTTGTGCAATTACATAGTTGAATAATTCCGATTAGTTCCTAAATCGATAGTTTATTAACATTTTGGTGTTATATTATCTGGATTATCGCCCTTTTCTTTGTGGGTTTTATTACATTTCAACCTTTGACGTCAATTGGCAACCTACCGCCTTTTATTTATTTAATCACGTCACGTCATCCAGTCAGCAGACGATTGTCTTCCGAGACGGTTTACATTTTCTCATTTGCTTCTTTGTATTCAGTATTGTTTTGTTTTTTCCTCTGTTTTTGTGGGAAATGGAACATATTCTCTAACTTTATAGTCAATATACCTCAATACTATTAAATACTTAAAATGTTTCGCACTTAACATAGACCATTTAGTTTTTCTTTATACATTTCATCGATATGGTTACTTGTATAGGTTAATTTTAACTTCATTATGTTCACATTCATATTTTATGTGGCATATAGCAGATCATGACTCATGCTGGTATTGCACAATGGTTTCTTTGGGTTGTATTCCTGATTGTTTTCAAATTTGAGTGAAGTCTGCGTCACTACAGGCCCGGGATTGTACTGCGCAGTGGATGCTTACGGCTAGCCCCCGGATCCAATCACTGAATTTGATATGTTCGTTTGTTTGTGATTTCTGCGTATTGTGTCTTGTTCGTAAATTTGTTTTGTGTAAATTATGTGTGGTGCAGTCCCCCAGCACTTACTATTACGTTAATCGATACTCAGCCTCTCTTCTCCATTTTTAAACTAAATCATTAAATGGCGACCGTATTTTAATCCGTTTACATCTGCGCCATTCAATGACTAGAGAGTTGATTATAGACTTGTCGAGTGAATAAATATTTAGATAATAGTTTATATAACATTTGAAGCAAAAATAAAAACCCGTCATAGGCAGATTTAGCTCTTACACAATGTATATTTAACATGGCATCAATTATTCCAAAGCATAGCCAAAGTAGTAAGTCGGTTTAGGCCTGGGTTTAAAGCCTCGTTGATACACTATTTTAATCGAAATGAAATAAAACGGTGTTTAACGTCCTACTGTTCTGCTAATGCAGACTGGCACACGCCATACAGTAAGCTATGGGGGGAATTTTGAGCTGGCAGCGGCACTATGGCCTACTCTTATATCGAATTCCAACTGCCAAGGCGTCTTTTAAGTGCACGCAAATGTATACACGGGTCCTCAGTTTTTCGTCCCATTCGAACGACTAGACAACTGTCCTGGCCAGACCCTCCGTTCTGCACCACTGACAAGGGGAAACCCCGCCGGAAAATCCCGATAAACTTTCTCGACCAATACAGGGATTGAACACGTGACCTCTAGACTCTATTTTAATCAGTTTGAGACTAACATATGTAAAGTTTTGAGACTAACATATATTAAATTTTGGGGAGCCACAGTGGCTCTGTGAGTAAGGCATTGGCTCATTAACCGGGGGGGGGGGGGGGCTGAATGGTTAGCGCGCGCTGTATCATAAAGTCTGTCATTGAGTCGACTGGCGTGGTTTCGAACCCCCGGTTGTACGTTACAAGGAGTAGGGTCGCCTGTCCAACCTCGTGGGTTTTCTCCGGGTCCTCCGGTTTCCTCCCACTGCTAAAGACCCCTACGCGCAAGCGAATTATTGAAATAAAATTAAACCATATGTTAGTCCCGAAATGACCTAGTTTGTGTCGAGTGGACGTTAAACCCCATTTCTCTCTCTCTCTCTCACCTCGCTCTCTCTCATTAACCAGGGGCTCCAATGTTTGATACCGTTAGTTGAAAGAGAAAGCCCCTCCGGGTTTGCTGCGTGGTTTCATCTTATCAGTTTCTCCTAGTTGTTTGGATGGGACCAAATCCCGAGGTCCCTTGTACACGTTGGCGTGCACGAATAACAACCCTTGACAGTTGGAATACGGAACAAGGGTAGCCCGTAGCGTCGCTGCCAGGGTAAAATGTCAACTACATGAAGTGTGTCCGACTCCCCGTCTTCATTGGTCCTGTTGATGCAGAGCAGTAGTGCTTGTTTTTTTAAACATACATTATGCAAGAGATAAATCTGCCTATTGCAGATCTTTAGGCCTGAAATGTTATCTAAATTATTAATTAGATATTTATTAACTTATCCAGGTCATATTTAACTCTTGATATCATCGCTAGCCTGCGATATTTAGCGGATTGGGATACATTTTTTTTGAAAAATAATTAAATCGATAAATGGATAATTGAGACTTGGTTTTTTTTTATTTTGCCGAGGCTACCCTAAAATTTAAAAGCTAATATCTCGGTTCAGAATGGAGCAATTTGACTGACATTTTCAGCATATTCTATTTACGTTATCTATTTGTTAACTATCATGGCGAGAACAGTCAACGCTTTTTATAATCTCCCTTAATGTCCCTTTAATTAAATGTTAAATAATCAATCTGGGTACAGAAATAATAGATATCGGGGAGGCTAATGAACCCTAACCCTAACCCTGATAACAGATATCGGTGGACTAGTGAACCCGCGGACTAGTGAGCATTCCCCAGTCCGCCGTCTTCATTATATCAATCGGTGCAGAGAAGTAATACGTTACACCCATTTCATTGTGCATACTAAACGGCTGACTTTAGACAGTGATGGTTGTTTGAGAGAATAAATAATTGACTTTAGACAGTAATAGTTTATTAAATATTAATAAGGGTCTATATTGGGAAAGGATTTGTATTTGAACGGGGGTTAAATATTAATAAAACAAAACGAATGTACATAATTAAAATTTATCGTGTTGTTTATGACAAAAAGAAGAAACAGGTACATTGTACTCTGTTTGAGACTTTATATATATTCTAAAGGGCACGTGTGCACTCAGAAGAAAAACTTACACAACAAAAGTGCATTGAACTAGATAATTCAACTAAACACAAACTAGGTAATTTCGGGACTAACTCATGGTTCAACTTTACTTTAATAATTCGCGTAACAGGAGGGCCAGGGCCCCTTGGGCGAAAGTACAATGGGTGTGGGTGGGTGTGTGCGTGTGTGTTGGGGGTGGGGGGGTGGGGTTCAATCACAAAATTATTCAGTAAGATTGCGTTGTATATGTAATTATAATGTATAATGTATAAACTTTTCGGTCTTAGGCATTTTCAAAGAGCGTCTGTAACACTTTGGTCCTTAAGACAATTTTGGTTCTTTGAAAAATTGTTGCTTCACATACATAAACTAACCCAGTGATATTTTGGCAAAATCATAAACATTGTCAAAATATCCACAAAATTCTATCTGTTAATTGACTTATTGTTGATAGACCAAATAAGGTAATGTTCGCCCCCATGGTCTTGTGAAATAAAGAGGTTTATTCCATATTTGGGATGAAAATTAACGTCAAGGCTATCTAAGATGTGCAGAAATTAGGCGGTTATAAAACAGGGTGTAGAACGGGATTGATCAGAGCTCATCCAGATATTACAAGCAACTATTATTATTGAGAACGAGGAACCTTCAAAGCCATTACAGCTTAGCAATAAAGTTGTAAGAACCATTTATTCTGTAGTGTTATTACGATCAGGAAGAAACAAACACAACAAGAAAAGAAGTCCGATAGTACTACACGTCACCCAAGGAAGAGGAAGAAGACCAAGCTGAGTAGAGGTTAGTGACAAGTTCCTGGTCCAAAAATACGAGTGGTGTTGTTCACTTTACTTAGAAAGATCCATAGAAATTATTCCATAGAAATCCTCCAGAACTCTTAGATACACTAATAAACAATTTCTGAATCAACCATCATTGAATCGTGAAATAGCAAAAAGATCTTTCTCGTTCTCTGCTCCTCTCAAATGGAATTCATTGCCTTACCACATTAGAACCACTGACTCCCTAGGTGGATTTAAATCTCAGCTAAAGATGATCCCGCTTATAGAAGCGTTTCAGGGGGGTTGGATGACCAAATGGTTAGCACGTGCGCGCTGTATCATAAGGCCTGTCATTGAGTCAGCTGGCGTGGTTTCGAATGTTTCGTCAAACTGTTTCATGACGACAATGCGAAAGCCTTCATGGCGGTCCAACGAATATGTACTGCCGATCAGTTTAATGTTTCGTCCAACCGAGTCGAGCGACACATCCTCTTGGGGTTGGGTGACTGAAATTTTGTAACGCGTGCGCTTTAGATCTTAAGGTCTGTCATCGAGTCAAATGGTGTGGTTTCCATTATCAGCTTGTACGAATTACTGAAATAAAATTGACATCCCGAAATAACATAGTTTGTGTCGAGTGGACATTAAACCTCGGTTCTCTCTTCCATTCCCTTATGGCGATTCTTGAGAAGTTGAGAAGGAAAGATACTCGATGCATTGACGCGTGCAGCCGATGTTTTACAAACTTTTTTTTTAAAAAATTCAAATTGTCTCCCCTTAATGCGCTAAGGGAGGTAATTAACTTGTTGACACGTGTGAAAGAAAATTCAAATATCGATATATTTTGTTTTTTGCTACCTGTCGGTTTTAGAAAGAAAGACTTCCAATATGTCGCGTGTCAAGGTAATAAGTGTAGTTAACTATAAATCTAGTCTTATTTCCGACACATTCGTTATGAAACTTTGGAAATCAAATTCAATAATTAACGGGGTCGTATCACCATAATAACGATACGATTTATTTGTTTATTGTAATGTAAGGGTGATAATCCGCAAAACAATCACTCGGAAAATCAATCAGAATTTAGAATTGGTTGGTTTCCAACGACTTGCCGCCTTCTAAATGACCCTACTGTTATTCATGATCAACAGCACAGAGGACATTGGAGGGCAGATTAAACAGGTTAGAGAGGATATCTTTACAATATCAATACCGTATAGGCCTATGGACCATGGTACGATGGAAAGAAGAATACGGGGCTACTCCCTTTTCAAGCAGACTTCCAGACATTAAAATATTGTTAATGGTCAAAATTGGTCTCAGATGTCAGTTTAATATGTAATCTCTAATGTCTATAGGCATTTTTATTGATTTCCAAATCGATTTGTATTTTGTGGAGATGTCATGTGACAGTATAGTCGATTTAAAAGTACGTTGATGATGTTGTTAAATGCGTTGATTAGCTGTAAACAATTCTTGTGGCTGGACAAACTTGATAAAAACATGTGATCAAGGTTCTCAAAACAATTGTTGAGTTGCCTAATCTACCCAAGTCCACCCAAATGCCCCGCAAAATACAATTTTCAAGCAAGCAATTTCGCGTAATACATGTCCCTTCCAAACTGTCTTCAAATCGCATTTTGAGGTGTATTTTGAAACAAAAATGCTACGATTTTAAATTTAAAAAGACAATTTGGCATAAAGAGCGGTATATCAAAAATCAACATAAAAATTATGAGTTGGGTAAATCATGCTACCCATATACCAAACGGACATACGCCATATAGTGTGCTATGAGGGAAATTTTGCCCGGGCAGCGGCACTATGGCCTACTCTTCCAACTACCAAGGGATCTTTTACGTGCATGCTAATGTATACACAGGACCTCAGTTTTTCGTCTCATCCGAATGACTAGACAGCTGTCCTTGTCAAGCCCTCCGTCCTGCACCACTGACAAGAGGGAACCATGTCCGAAAATCACTACACATCTGTCCTTGTCACGCCCTCCGTCTTGCACCACTGACAAGAGGACACCACGTCGGAAAATCCTGATGAACTTTCTTGACCAATGCAGGTATCGAACATGCGACCTCCAGGCTAGCGTGCCAACGTCCTACCCACTTAGCCACCGTGGCTCCCATTGGGCTAGAACCACTGTATAAAGTGTGAATGGTTTGATATGGTATGTTATTATATTTTTAATAGGTTGGAATTATTGGTGGATCTGGGTTAGATGATCCAAATATATTAGAAAATAGAAGTGAGAAATCAGTCGACACACCATACGGAAAGGTAAATTACAAATTAGATTCCTATCATGTGTTATAAAGTAACTATATTATATTAATGTATAAAAACCAGGGGGCTGGATGGCCGAATTGTTAGCACATGCGCGCTGTATCATACAGCTTGTCATTGAGTCAACTGGTGTGGTTTTGAATTCCCGGTTGCACATGACAAGGAGTAGGGTCGCCTGTCCAACCTCATGGGTTTTCTCCGGGTCCTCTGGTTTCCTCCCACTGCTAAAGACCCCTACGTGCAAGCGAATTATTGAAATAAAATTGAACCATATGTTAGTCCCGAAATGACCTAGTTTGTGTTGAGTGGACATTAAACCCCATTGCTCTCTCTATAAAAACCAACCACATTCAGTCCTTGCATGAAGTTAATAGATACTGTGACTGAATGTTATATTCAACAAACTTATTGAAACTCCCAAATCTCTACATTTATTAAACATACATTATGGAAGATTAGATAAAGAGATGGCAGTTCTCACTATAATAGTTAAAAACTAGATAATATAAAGGGAAGATACTTAAAATGTCAGTCAAATTGGTCCACTCCCAACCAAGATATTAGCAATTGAATTTTAGGAACAGCCTCGAACATCATTACAAAAATCAGTATGATAAAAAACAGTTTCGATTATCCACTATTGGATTTAATCATCAATGAGCGTTGAGCAGCAGATCGGATTTAAATTCACTGAAAATCCGACACATAAGATGGCATCAAGTGTTAATTAAGGTCTTTTCATGTTAATAAATGTCTAATTAATAGTTTATATAACATTTCAGACCTAAAGAAAGATCTACAATAGGCAGATTTAGCTCTTGGATAATGTATGTTTAAATACAAAATTTGAAGACTCTAAGTCTTTACTCATGCCAATTAAAGATACATTATGTAAGATTTTGATAAAGAGCTGGCCATTCTCGCTATAATATTTCAATGATAGATAGTGCAAAATGAATATATTGAAAATTTCATTCAAGTTGCTTTATTTTAAGCGAAATTGTCAATGGTTGTAGTTTTGACAAGATATGTGCATTGATTGTAACAGCCTTACTTGTCGTTCGAGTCTTAGCCTCCCTTTTCCATTTTAAATTAAATCATTGTAATTAATTAATATCTACTGGTTCTTAATGTTTATAACAAGTCTGTTGATATTGATAAGATAGGTTTTAAGGTTCCTATATTTATATTTTTACAGCCGTCAGATGTGTTAATAACAGGAACAATAAAAGGAACAGAGTGTATTCTGTTAGCCAGGTACGTACTCAGTAGATGTGTCAACTAGCCTGTTTTTTCCGAGAGACACAAGGATTCACAGCCTTTCTCCCGATCTCCCGCAAATTTCTCACGGAAAATTGCCATATGTCAATGCTATTTTTACTTTCACAAAGGGAGATAACTCCCTTACTTCCGTTTCATAAATCGACCTCAGGATTGGCTGAATTTGACCAAAAACTTCTAATTCCAGTAATATGCTTGACAGCCCAACGTTTGTTTGTGATTAGTATTGTTTGGAGTAAATACTCCTGTTTTTTCATTGCTGGTCTCCTGTTTTTTCATACCTGGGGGGTTGACACGTCTGGTACTCCGTAGATATAGATATTGTATTGTATTAACCAGGTAAGCACTCAGTCATATTGAATAGATACTGGACTATGGAAATCTATTTGTATAAGTGTCGGGCTGTTTTCAAATCTATTATATCAGTATTATATACTCATGAACAAATGTACTCATGTTATACTTGAAATAGATTTCAGGCCTAGATATAAAATCATAGATATAGATATAGGACATTTTTAGGTCATAGAGGGCCTTTAAGAATCAAAAACCTTCTTCGAATATTGTTTACTAAAATCCACTACATTTTCAAGTCCAGGTTTACACACCAACATATTCCTGTGTCTACCCATTTGACTTTACGCTTCAAGTTTTCTTGGATTGTTGCATCAGATCTTATAGTAACTGATGTACCTGAAATAAAATGAACTGGGCTAATGAAGATGGGCATAAGCCTAAGCCATGCAGTGTGCTATTAGGGGAATTTTGTTTGGACATCGGGACTAGGGGCTACTCTTATGTCAAATTCCAACTGTCAAGGGTTCTTTTACGTGCGCGTCAACATGGAGCTGACATGCCATAAAATTCCATTTCATTCTCATGAAACCGTAATAAAGGTATGTTCACAGTGGCACAGAACAAAATATATAGACCTATTGCATAACAAAAATGTCTCGAATTAATATAGCAAGAACGTTGAAGTAGTGCTGACGAGTTTCGGTACTTCAGGTCACGCCTTGTCATGTCAACAATCAAGTTACACCATGAATTATTGAGTATAGTAACATTCAATACCTATTAAACTGGAAAAACTTGTCATTTTGAACTCTTAATAAAACCGGAAGTTATACTTCAAGACCAAACTTCCTGTTTGTAAAAAATGACCCAATTTATATTTAATATTTAGCTCCATGGAGGTTAACAGTATCTTGGCTGCAATTCTGACTAAAATCGGGGGAAAAAATAATAATAAAAACTCTTATGAAAGCAATGAATTAGAGATTAATTATCTGAAATTTGTTAAATGTTTTTGTTTTATATATTTCAGACATGGCCGAAAACACAGTATAGGTCCTTCCCATGTTAACTACCAGGCCAATATTCACGCTCTAAAGGCAGAAGGTTGTACACATATAGTAGTTACAACTGCATGTGGATCATTACAAGAACATATACAACCAGGTGATATCGTATTAATAGATACTTTTATAGACAGGTAAGTTTATGAAAGCAAGTTCCAAGTATGACGTCAAGTATATAAAAAAACCAGGTACGTCAAGTACCGAGCATGTCGTTATTGCATTGCTCTTAGAATTGTGACATTATATCAAAAATCCAATGTGCAATTGTCCATGAACTATTTGGCGCCTCAGAGCAAAAAGTTTCGGTGACACCCCCACTCCACCTTGCATACTGTAACTGCTTTGTCATGGACAGACTGATTTAACTAAAATTATTTACAAATGAAGGAGTGATAAAAAAGATAAAAAACATTGAGACGACTCAGATGTTGTTGTTTATTACAAATTCAACGTCCAATACATTATAATATGATATTATGGACAGGTTGATTTAATTAGGTTATTTATAAATATATATACACAGAAACAAATGTGTAGTACATATAGGAATGAAATGTAAATGGGGTTTAATGTCGTAACTCCTATACTGGACTAATACACCATACACGCCAATTATCAGTGACAGACATGTAGCAACAGCTCATCGACCTGTATAGTACATGTTGATTAACAATAATATGCCATAGTGTGACGAAATGTTATGACATATATGTACTATATACAAGATATGATTAGTATTTATCAGATATATCGCCATATTTAGTGTGTTGTTTCTAGAATTGATCGCGGGTACTGATCGATCACATACCGGCCTGAATAAAGATATATTGATTGTTGCGGAAAGGATTCACGGGGTTTACGTTTTACGGACATTTCTCGATGAAATGAAATGAAATGGGGTTTAAAGTCCTACTGGGCTAATGAAGATGGGCATACACCATACAGTGTTCTATGAGGGAAATTTTGCCCGGACAGCGGCACTACGGCCTACTCTTATATCAAATTCAACATGCCAAGGGGTCTTTTACATGCATACTAAAGTGTACACAGGGCCTCGTTTTTTCTTCCGAATAACTATACATGTATCGTGCCAAAAATCCAAATAAACTTCCTCAGCCAACACAGGGATCGAACGCAGGACCTCCATGTTAGCAAGCAAATGTCTTACTCACTGAACCACCGCGGCTCCCTATATATAGACAGGTCATAACAAATAAAGGCAGGGGGATGACCTAGTGGTCTAGAGTGTCGCCTCTGGCATACGCATGTTGTTTCGATTTCCCGGTTGTCGACTTATGTGGCTTGGAGATAGGGGGCGCCTTCTCAACCTCGTGGCGGGTACTCCGGTTTCCTCCCACAGGAAAGACCCCTACACGTACGCTATAATAATAAAAATGAAAATAAGACAAATTGTCTGCGATATCACCTTCGGTGGAAGCAGACGTTAAACACTATAAGAACAACAACAACAAAAGATAAGAAACCATTCAGAAAAACAACAGGATGAAAGGCAAGATACGTAGAGAGGGTCAGTGAGGCCACTAATGTTTGTTATTATTTTAATATTTACAGAACTCATAAAAGGGTACAGACATTTTACGATGGCTCTGCAAATGCACCAAAAGGAATATGTCACATTCCGATGAACGAACCATTTTGTACACGAACAAGAAAGGTAGTTTTTGTTTAATTTCTATCAATGTATATCAGACTTGTGATGGATGTCTTCGCGCCATTTAATTAATTCATATTCACATAAAAAAATAGAACAGAAGAGTTTGTGTATAAATATGACTGGCCATATTACAAAATATTGCAATCACTATTAAGCAGATACCTTTGACTTAAGAATCTAGAGCTTTTAGTAATGACAATTTTTGTGATTAATTGACACAAGTGATAATTACTCTAGAAAGTGGTTAGAAATTTTACATTAGATTTGTATCTAGGTGTAAAAGATGCCACTGCTAATGTAAAAGTGTGACTAATAGACAAAAGTATATACAGTGGACTCTGTCTCATCCGATGTCTGATCACTCCTGATTGCTGTGACATCTGACATGATTTTCATGTCCCGATTTATTTCCTTATTACTTCAGCCAAAAAATCGCTGGTAAATCCGGATTCTGTATGTTCCGGATTACCACATCAATCAGCTGTCCCGTCACATAATTTCCATTGAATCGACACCGTATAATCCTACTTCAAATGGTGGGTGTGAAGCATCAAATTATCGGTGAGATTAAAACTCAATGGGTGTGAAGCCAGAAAAGATTAACAAGCAATCACCAATCAATTGCTGCGATTGAAGAATCATTATACATTATTGTATTCAAAATGTCTGAACGTCCTGCAAAGCGTGCCCGAACAGATTTGACATTAGATGTAAAGCGGCAACTTATAGCAGATTTTGAGAAAGTTCCACGACCTGCGCAGAAGGAATTAGCCTTTAAGTATTCATTTGGCCGAGCTACAGTGTCAGACATATTAAAGCGTAAAGATGAATTTAAACAGAAGTTTGCCGATAATTTAAACTGCAATAAGAAACGATTTTACACCATGCATTGTTATTGTTAATTATTTAATGTAATAAAATTTTGAAAGTACATAAAGGTTTATCATTTTTAAAGGGAATAGCATTCTGGTGATCCGAAGCTACAATATAAATATACTTCCGGTTTTCGAAGTTACAGTATTTCTGGTTTTGGAGAAAGCTCGGTATTCCGACATGCTGTGTGATCCGAAATATTGTAACAATCCTGTACGATGTCGGATGTGACAGAGTCCACTGTATTCAATAGAGCTCACCAAAACTGTTGGACAAAATGGCCGCCCCTCGTACGCACATAGTGTAAACATGTGGTATATTAAGGTTGTGTACCCTCTATAAGTCACAATTTTGATCCGATTTTGATAAAACTTGAAATATATCTTTATAACCCAATGGTCTCGGCTCCTGTCGATAACTTCCTGAATTATGGCCCTTGATTGTTCAAAATATTGCTTTTTGTTTAGCTTGCTCTCTATCCATCTCCTGCAAAATGTGGGCTGTATCCTGCCTGGCAGCCGCTGGTTGATGGTGCACACCCCCCCCCCCCCCCACGGGAAAATATTGTGTGCCTCTGGTTAAAAGACTTGTATTGCGATATGATATTTGGTTGAAAATACACAGAACTGTCACATATATATTTTTTACAGCTTGTTGAAACATCATTAAAAGAATTAGGATATGGTCACCATGCCAATGGTGTTATGTTGACAATTGAAGGACCAAGATTTTCTACCAAAGCAGAAAGTAAATTATGGCGTATACAAGGCGCAGATGTAGTTAATATGAGCACTGTACCAGAGGTAAATTCCTTTCTTTTCTTGTTTAGTTTATTGATATTTTGAGCCAGGGTGGCTCAGGAAGTAAGAGAGAGAAATGGGGTTTAACGTCCACTCGACACAAACTAGGTCATTTTGGGACTAACATATGGTTTAATTTTTTTATTTCAATAATTCGCTTGCGCATAGGGGTCTTTAGCAGTGGGAGGAAACCGGAGGACCCGGAGAATACCCACGAGGTTGAACAGGCGACCCTACTCCTTGTCACGTACAACCGGGGAATCGAAACCCCGGCAGTTGACTCAATGACAGACCGTATGATACAGCGTGCGCGTGCTAACCATTCGGCCATCCAACCCCCCTCAGGAAGTAAGACGTGACTTGCTAACCTAGAGGCCCTGTGTTTGATCCCTCTGTTGACAGAGAAAGTTCATCAGGATTTTCCAGTACGTTATGCATGGTTCTCCCTTGTCCGTTATGCAGGACGAAGGGCCTGTCAAGGGACAATGTATATAGTCGTTTGGAGGTCCTATGTACACATTGGCTTGCAAGTAAAAGATCCCTTGACAGTTGTAATTTGATATCAGAGTAGGCCATAGTGCCAGTGTCTGGACAAAATATCCCTCGGCACACTGTATCATGTATGCCCATCTTCATTAGCCTAGTTTGGTGCAGAACAGTAGGAGTTAAACTCAATTTCATCTCTCTCTCTCTCTCTCTCTCTCTCTCTCTCTATCTCTCTCTGTATTGAATATTGTATTTTTTTATCTTACAGGTGATATTAGCTAAAGAGGCTGGTGTATGTTACGCTACTATGGCGTTAGTAACAGATTACGATTGTTGGCGTGATGACACAGAGGCTGTAAGTTCAATCGTTTCACAATAGTCTGTTATTCAATACTGTTACAATGACATATTTTAATCATTCTATAATAATTGGTACTGGATTTGAATAAATTCTATAATAATTGGTACTGGATTCCAACAAATTCTGTAATAATTGGTACTGGATTTGAATAAATTCTATAATAATTGGTACTGGATTCCAACAAATTCTGTAATAATTTCTCTGAGACTTCTGATTTACCACCACTGCCGAAGACCCTAAAGTGCAAGTGAATTATACTGAAATAAAGTTCTGCTATATGTAGGTGTCAAAATAACCTAACTATTGTGTTGAGTAAATGTTAGAAATGGTTCCACTACTGATATCTTCCGACTTACTCCAGCCACAGTAGTGGCTCAGCCTACAGAGTTCCTTTGCGCAAGGTTTTTAGTCAAATGACTACAAAAAGGTTACTGGCCTATAGCTCCCTTAATTTACACATAAAATGACCAAAACAGTACTGCACATAGCTTAACATATAATAAATCAATTCCCATTGAAATCAAGGTGAAGCCTTACCGTTTATTTATATGATTTGATGAAACCCAACTGCTACGCGAAATTTCAACTGGCAGGTGTCATGGCGGCTTGCGTAATACGTCATTACAAGAAACATCGCTATGCAAATGTAGAATGCATAACCACAAAGAAAAACTGTTCGGTAACTATTTTAGTGGTCCAGTCTTCACTATTTGTCATAGAATTACTTATTCCAATACAAACTGTAATGATACGTGTTGACAATTGTGCGTTTGAACCTATTTAAACTTGCGTCAGGAGTCTTAGACTGTATCAATTGTAACGTTAAACACACAGTTTACTGTTACAAGTATAGTAACTAAGTAAATGTCAGAAGTAATTTAGATCATAAGGTCTGTCATTTAGTCATGTGACATGGTTCCGATCCCAAGCATGCATGGGACATGTAGTAGGCTCCTGGGGGGCCCACGGTGGCTAAGTGAGTAAGACAATGGCTCGCTAGCCTGGAGGTCGGGTGTTCGATCCCTGCATTGGATGAGAAAGTTCATCCAGATTTTCCGGGGTGGTTCCCCCTTGTCAGTGATGCAGGATGGAGGGCCTGACAAGGACAGCTGTCTAGTCATTCGGATGAGACGAAAAACCGAGGTCCCGTGTACACATTGGCGTGCACGTAAAAGATCCCTTGACAGTTGGAATTCGATATAAGAGTAAGCCGTAGCGCCGCTGTCTGAGCAAAATTTCTCTCATAGCAAACTGTATGGCATATGCCTGTCTTCATTAGCCCAGTTCGTAGCGTTAAACCCCATTTCATTTCATTTCATTTCATTTCATTTCATTTCAGTAGGCTCCTTGGCCCTGTTTCACGAAATCTTAACTAAAGATAAAATCCAAATTTTAGTAGATACTTCAGTTTTGATTGGCTAAGCACTAAAATCAATCTAATATTATCCAATCAAATTACTAAAATTTGGATTTCATCTTAGTTAAAATTTCGTGAAACAAGCCCCTGGTCCTCTAGTTTACCCACACGGCTAAAGATCCCTGCACACAAGGCAATTATTAAATGAAATTAAACCATATGTTAGTCCCGAAATGACGTAATTTGTTTTTATGGATGTTGAGCCCATTCTGTGGATGTAAATACCAAACTGGACATCTATAAACAGTTCTTTATCATTCAAAATATTTTACTCATGTTTTCTCTTCTTTGAGCGACATTTAGCAATTGAATTAGTAATAATATGGAACACAATTACTATTTTAATTAAAGCGACGTGTCGTTGAAGTTTCGTAAGCTCTTATTCCTATATCGGTGATTTGACTAATATATTAAATGGTTTCCCAATTGATTATGATTAATTAGCTGTTACATGTTTTTGTATATAAACCTTCTGTACATTATTTTCATTATCATTTGCTTGAAAACGTTGAGAGAACCCTCACCGAAAATAGTAATTGTGTTTGATATTATGTTTTTGTGTGTATTACGTTGTTTCTATTGTAGGTTAGTGTAGAACTGGCTCTACAAACATTTAAGAAAAATGCTCAAAAAGCTATAAACGTTCTGTTAGATGTTATTCCAAGAATCACAGCCGAGGATTGGACGCAAACACTCAAAGACAATGAGGTTTGTTTTCATTTTGTCTTTTATTGGGGGCTGCCCTGTGCAGTCTAAATTCAATCTGAGTAAAATACAGATCTATATTTCATTTTGTTTATTTATACTTTCGATGGCCTACATGAAGATCTGACTGGTTGTAGTGGGAGGTCACGTCAGGGGTCATACAAGCTTCTTTTGACCCTATGACCTCAGACATTGATTCAACAATCAGCGTTGATGTTTCTAGGGGTTTACCCACAGTTCCTTGCAGAGCACGACAAGAAGTCGCCATAACAGACTGTTTCATTGACTAATTCCTCACATCAAATAGAACACATGTTATATAACAACTCTTCCAGATCCTAGTGTAGTAAAGACAAGTAAACTGAAATTTTGAACTATAAAAAACGAAACGAAATAGGATCTGTGTTTTAATCAGATTGAAAAGAATTATTTAAAATGTTTAACATTTTTGAGAACCTAATACTTTTAACTGAGCAATAATCTAAATTTGATAGCATGACATTTGAAAACAAATTGTATTTAAGCCTATATATATAGGCCTACATTCTGCTTCTCTTTTGTTTACAGGAAATATCAAGAAAATCTGTGATGTAAATGGTGCAATGATATTTTCTTTTAAACTTCTAGAGAACCATGCATAACCTATTATCCAATATAATTTTAATAATAAAAATCCAAGTAAAAGACGATAAAACCCCCACACTCGAAAAGATTAGGAGGGGGGAAGATTCCCTTGAACAGTGCTGACAACTTTGGATCTCAGTGAAGCATCCGGGGATAAGCAGGAACCAATCCATGTAAATAATCCAAAAAATAATAAAATCCCCGGCAACAATAATTTTATATGTTTCAGTTATCCCTCAGTATTATTTGATAATATATGATTATCCAGATACCATTATGTTGATTTTATTTTGCAATTTAAATATTTGTATGATCATGTGAGATTCCACAAATGATATTAATATATATTGAGGTTGAAATACTAAAACAATGTTAGATGTCCCTCATATACGAAAAAACGGAATTGTATTTAGATGTCCCTCATATACGAAAAACATAATTGTATTTCTTTATTAAATGTATGACTACGATTGGTTGGTATTATTTTAAAAATTTATTTATTTAATCAGTCGATTTTTTCAAAAACTGTCTGTATTTTATTTGAAAATATTCTACAGGGTTGTATATTACGGTATTTCATAAAACAATAAATGTTTTGAGGGTTAAAATTAGGCCTATATATAGGCCTATGATATATTCTACAGGGTTATATGTTTTGAGGGTTATTGTTATAGGCTATATTTACATCATCGTCTTCTAACAGGTTCAGGCCTGAGTTCACAAAGCATTCTCAGACTGAAGTTAAGAATTTACTCAACTTTCAATCACTGTTTATGAGAAATATTTTTGATCCAGAAACACAAAAATTTGCACATAGTTTCTTAATGATGTATTTATTTGATGCCGGTACATTAAAAAAAATTTTTTTATAAGGGAACAATTTGGAATAAATTTGTAACTTAAAGGAGCTAAGTCGCTAATACTTGGGACCTAGAAATTGACACAAATGGGTCGCAACGTAACAATAATGTAATATGAATGTATATAAATTAATTTACATTCAATCGTTTCTGTTTTTACTGTAATTTGTAATCAGTTATAGGTTCGGCGAAATACGGCAGTATTCTCAATCGAATTTCAATCTCTAGCGTCTGGTTATTCCAGTCTACGCCGATATTATTTATTGGGCTTGCTCTCTAGATAAGAATATTGCGTCACCGTTTGACATGACTTGTGGAATATGAGTAGTCTCGTTTTTAGAGTCCCTTATTACAAAAAGCACTGAAACGCATTATGGTACACGATTCGTGTACCAATTGTAACATGTTTATTTTGTCTTAAATATTGGATATCAGAAGGCAATCTTTTCCCGGTAAGATCACAACATCAATGTTTATTTAAATCGACAAATAAATCGTGTTTTCAATGTCGAAGATTATGGATGATATTGAGTTATAGACTTAGCTACTTTAAGTCTGAGAATGCTTTGTAAACTTGGGACCGGGTGTCATTTTAAAGGTAATTATTATTTGACTATAACTTTGTTTCTTGTATCATTTGTTGAATAAAATTTTATACAGTAATAATAATGACAAGGAAAGTCTGTTTGCAATTAATAGGGAAAGGGAGGTAACTCTTTAAGAATATTGGAGTGATGTCCCCTTAAAACTCTTCTTTTGAAGTTACGAAAGGTTGTAGGATGTAAACAAGTACTCGAGATGGAAAGTTCAAGGGGTGTTTCCGTATTTTACTGCGATTGGGATAGTGCAGAAGCCGATACTAAAGAAAACGAGATGAATGAAACGTCAGTTAAAACCGGCACAGACAAAATGTCGACATCAACAACGAACGTCAGTAATGAATTAACATGTGACACTCAACAGGCTTCAGCCAGTGCTTCAACGAACAAGTTCTCAGACTCGGACTCTGACAGATCGGGGCAACAGGGTCAGGGAGAAACTTTGAGACTGTGTGGGTGGTTGTCCAAGCAAGGAACTGTCGGTTTCGTTAAAACTAATAGGTTATATTGGTTCGTGTTTGGAGATGACACTTGTAAATTGTATTATTATAGAAATCGAAATGACTTGCTTCCTCAGGGAGAGATTGACATATCAAAGGCTTCTTTCTCTTATAACGTGAATAAAGAAAAACTTCAGGATGGTGTTCTTGAAATTCGGTATGGAGATTTTCTTTTCTTATTTAATTTTTTTTGTACATTTGCTTCACCATTCTAACCATGGGTATCATTTATCTAGACTATTCATTGGGATCTTATAATTATTATGTCTATGCATCTGAAACACTTTAAACCTGCTATAGAATTACACTACATGAACTTCATATCATTGCAGGCATGATTACATGTAAGCCTTTATTAGTCACCCAGTGCTTTGAAACACTTAATGTTACCATATAAGGTTGTTATATTAATACATGTGAGGCATTTCATACTACAAGTACAAAAGATGTAGTGAATGGTTTAATCATTTGGTACTTCTATAGTAAAAAGAAATTAATTGAAATGGGGTTTAATGTCCTACTGTTCTGCTTCAACTGGGCTAATGGAGACAGCATACGTCATAGAGTGTGCTATGAGAGAAATTTTGCCTCGGTAGCGGCACAATGGCCACTCCTATATTGAATTCCAACTGCCAAGGGATTTTTTACGTGCATGCGTATACACGATACCTCATTTTTTATCCCATCTAAACAACTAGACAGCTGTCCTTGTCAGGTCCTCCATCCAGCACCACTGACAAGGGGAAACCATGTCGTAAAATCCCTATGAACTTTCTCGCTGTGCCTTTTTGACAATAAATGATTAATAAAGTTATCATGTAATTTTATAATACCATTTTATAAAGATACATTATGTAAGATTTAGATAAAGAGCTAGCCATTCTAACCCTTGCTATGGTTCACTCCCATTTTGACTACGTCCCATTTCGACTACACCCCATTTCGACTACACCCCATTTCGACTACAAATTTTAGGTGTGTTCCCACTTAGCCGGCAGACTGTTAATCCTTTGATTGATCTTAAAAGTAGTCACTCAAGAACTGTTCACTAGTGTTCAGCGTTAATGAGCTCTTAATCCCTCTTAATATAATTTATTAACCAACTAATTAATGACATTTTGAACACAGTTCATGCCGGCGTTATGATTTCAAACATGAATTGAATTCACAATATTAATATAAATAGATGGTGGATCTGTGTCCAAATTATATTTATTTTAAAATGGCAAACGTTCAGGTTAATATTCGCCCCCATTAGTGATGGGTATTATAATTAGTCACACTTTTGACATCTTTTACACCTGCTAATTATTGACAACTGTATAATTTCTAACCACTTTCTATACATACTAAACATTAGTTTAGAATGATAATAGCAAATTATTGAAATAAAATTGAACCATGTGTTAGTCCGAAATGGCCTAGTTTGTGTTGAGTAGACATTTAACTCTCTCTCTCTCTCTTTCTCTCAAGATGTATTTAAATTCCCCCTAAATCAAGTTGAGTTTTCTCTATGAATATTTCTCCAGAATTTATGGACACTCCTGTCTTGAATGAATTAGTTAATTATTATCACAAACATGATAAAGCATATTGTCCATGAAGTTAATTTTGTCTCAGCTAGGAGTGTCGCAACGAAAATAATGGCGGTGATCAATACAATATATTATATGAAGAGAAGAATTGTTTTGTTGGCTCTGTTCTTGAAACTAAACTAACCACAGCGCAAAAATAAAATATCAGATGAAAGAAACCGAAACTCCAATGACAAACCTGTGGAAATGACACATTGCATGGACATGTGTACATTACAAGCAATAAACAGTAAAAATTAAACATACATTATGCAAGAACTAAATCTGCCTATTTCAGGTCTTTCTTTAGGCCTGAAATGTTTTCTAAATTATTAATAAGACATTAATTAACTTATCCAGGCCATAATCAACTCTCGATGGCATCAGATTTCTCCGATATTTTAATTTAAGCTTAAACTGGAGGAGGGAGACTTAGCTTCGAACAACCAGTACGGTGGTTGAAATTATTGCACACGTTTATCAAACCTTCCAAGGGTAATATCTTCGCTGGCAATAGAGTTATTTGAATGAAATTTTCAAATTATTTATTTTACATTTTCTATTTTCGAACTATTATAGCAAGAATGGCTAGCTCTTTATGTAAATCTTACATACATGTAATGTATCTTTAAGTGAATGGATTGGTGAGGGGGGGTGGGGGTAGTTGACTGTTAAGCATCCTCTGCCCTGTACTCTCTTTAAATCAAATCAAATCAAATGAAATGTGATTTAACATCCTACTGTTCTGCTCCGACTGGGCTAATGAAGACGGGCATACGCCATACAGTGTGTTGTGAGGAAAATTTTGCCCGGACAGCGGCACTACGGCCTACTCTTATATCAAATTCCAACTGTCAGAGGTTCTTTTACGTGCACGCCAATGTGTGCATTGGACCTCGGTTTTACGTCCTATCCGAATGACTAGACAGCTGTCCTTGTCGGCTTTTCGTCCTGCATCACTGACAAGGGGGAACCACGCCGGGAAATCTGGATGAACTTTTTCGGCCAATGCAGGGATCGAACACCACCCTCCAGGCTAGTGAGCCAGCGTCTTACCCACTGAGCCATCGTGACTGCCTCTTTAAATCAAATTGATGAAATGAAATGGGGGTTAATGTTCGTTTTCTTTGCTACATCTGCGCTAATTAAGAATGACACACACCATGCAGTGTGCTATGAAAGATAACTTGCTCTAAACAGTAGCTTTTCCACCTACATGTACTCGTCATCGGAATTGCAACTGCCCAGGGTTCTTTTACATGAACGAGAATATCGACACTTTCTCTTGTTGGCCCCTTTTATTGAAGACACATTGTCTTCCTACAAAAGCATGACAAGGACAGCTGTCTAGCTGCTCGGATGGGACAAAAAACTTAGGTTTCGTGTACACATTGGCGTGCACGTAAAAGATCCCGATCCCCTTGACAGTTGGAATTCGATATAAGAGTAGGCCGTCGTGCCGCTGCCCGGACAAAATTTCTCTCTTTGTACATTGTATGGTATATGGCGTATGCCCGTCTTCTTAGCCCAGTCGGAGCAGAACAGTAGGAGGTTAAACCCAATTGCATTTCATTTCTTCCTACAAAAACAAAAGTTTGATCCCTGCATTGGCCGAGAAAGTTCATCCAGATTTTCCGGCATGGTTCCCCCCTTGTCAATGATGCAGGACGGAGGCCCTGACAAGGACAGCTGTCTAGTCCTTCGGATGATACGAAAAACCGAGGTCCCGTATATACATTGGAATGCACGTAAAAGATCCCTTGGCAGTTGGAATTCGATATAAGGGTAAGAGTAGGCGATAGTGCCGCTGCCCGGGCAAAATTTCCCTCATAGCACACTGTATGGCGTATGCCCGTCTTCATTATCCCAGGTAAGGAGCAGAACAGTAGGACGTTAAACCCCATTTCATTTCATTTCTTCCTACAAAAACAAAATCTAATGAAATCAACAATTTTATGTTTGACCCAAACCAAAGAAGTCTGGTTATTAGAGTCAAGTTGGTAATCTGTTATGTAAATATTTTTCTACTTAAATTATATTTACTGTGAAAATAAAACCTTGTCCTGTTTCAACAAGCATCTATTACTAGTAGAGAAAGCATGACAAATATTTTAATATTATAGTTAAAAATAGCTGGTATTGGTAGAAATAGCTTTATATTTTAATAAAGAATATTAAGTCTTTAGAGTAGCGAGAGAGAGAGAGAAATAGGGTTTCCCTTTAACGTCCACTCTACACAAACTAGGTCATTTTGGGATTAACATATTGTTCAGTTTTATTTCAATATTTCGCTTGCGCGTAGGGGTCTTTAGCAGTAGGTGCAAATCGAAGGACTCAAAGAAAACCCACGAGGTTGGACAGGCGACCTTACTCCTTGTCACGTACAACTGGGAAATCAAAACCACACCAGTTGACTCAATGACAGACCTTCTGATACAACGCGCACGCTCTAACCATTCAGCCATCCACCCCCGCTACTGCCCTTAGAATATGATACAACGCACTAACCATTCGGCTATCCAACCGCCCATTTAGAGTAGCACTTGGGTCCATTATTAGATCTAAATGTTTTTTTTTTAAAATCTCTCTTCTTTTGTTTATTTCTCCATTGTAAGTTTGGAGGTTCAGGGATGGGGGTGTAATTGAAATACACTTACTGTTTGTAACTGTACAGGGGGGTTGGATGGCTAAATGGTTAGTGTGCGCGCGCTGTATCATAAAGTCTGTCATTGAGTCGACTGGCGTGGTTTCGAATCCCCGGTTGTACGCGACAAGGAGTAAGGTCGCCTGTCCAACCTCGTGGGTTTTCTTTGAGTCCTTCGATTTGCACCTACTGCATGTAATACAGCCTGTCTAAATTTCAAGATCCTCTCCAGGTTCTCCGCTTTCCATCCACTACTAAAGATTTGTGCTCCCTGCATGCAAGCAAATTGTTGAAATAATAAAAAAACTTTATGTTGAGTGGACATTAAACATACATTATACAAGAGGTAAATCTGTCTATTGCAGGTCTTTCTTTACGCCTGAAATATTATCTAAATTATTAATTAGACATTAATTAACTTATGATATTGTTATGAAATTCTAATCTAAATATAGACTATAGAATAAGTTAACTAAGTTTTGGTAAGATATGATTTCCTATATCCTGGTTTGTCTATAATAAACTGTACTCAAATTGTTCATGCTACATACACAGTGACAGATACAGGATATCGGTTTGAAAGTGAGTGAGTGAGTGGGGGGGGGGGGGAGAGGAGGAGGGTCCTCCCACTTGAAATATTTTAAAAATTGGAATGTCAATAATAATTTTCAACATGTTCCTCCTACCCTATAAAACTAGCAACACAGCAACAATATTTACACATATTTACAAAGTGTATATATACTCTTCAAATAAGTAGGGGATATTGAAATGCAAATACCTATGCAGGTTGTGATATGATAAATAGTCATGGACACTTGACATGCTTTGAGAGTATGTTCACAGATGAAGAACTTATCGCCCCAACAGAACCACTGAGATGCACATGCAACACGCAATAGCGCCATGCACGTGGGATGGGTTCATTGTCATATTTGACACTTCAAGGAAGGGTTGATGAAAACTGCTGCTTGCTGGTTTATCCTATCTATGTTTGTTTTCCTATCAGTTGTGGCATAAGGTTTATTGTTTAGCGTATCTTTGCTTTAGTGTGTTATGTTTAATTTGATCGCCCGTCTTCATTAGCCCAGTTCGGAGCAAAAGAGTAGGACGTTAAACCCCATTTCATTTCATTTAATTTGATCGGGAGACGCGTTCGTCGACGTCAGCGTCAACTGACAACACTGCAAGAATTGGCCCTGGCACTGCAAGAGGAGTGGGTCAGATTGCCCCAAATCGTGATTGGACGGTTGACTAGGAGCATGCTCGACGAATTGCTGAATGTCTGAGGATTGGTGGAGCAATTACTCATTATTAAGACAAAAAATCAAAAACGTTCATTTTCACTTTTGACAGTGTATCTCTTTGCAAGTGAAATGGGGCTGTCAGATAAGCCGCCCGTATGAACTGTTTATGTTCATGTGTAGGCAATTGGCCTGTTATTAACATACACTGGTTACCTCTAATAAAAACAACAGTGCATTTCCGCAGTTTTGTATTGTTTCTGAATATCCCCTACTTTTTTTGAGGAGTATTTAACGTATTTTGGTATATAATGGAGAAATATCAAACACACAAGAAGGAAAAAAAATGGCAAATAAACATACATTCGGAGGACAACAGTGATTAACACGGTTTAAAAGATTTAACATGTTGTACTAACTCCTTTTTGAAGATAAAACATGAAGACGCATGTTTTAAAGTTTGAGGTAGTGAATTTCAGAATAAAGGGGCGGTATATTGAAATGTTCTTGTCATTGCCTTTTTATACGCCCACATTGAAATGTGGTCGTATATTGTCGTCGCCCCCGTCCGTCTGTCCGTCCGTCCTTTGGTCCGGCGTCCACAATTGCTCTAGAGGCTAAGTTATCATCCGATCGACTTCAGATTGATATAACAGTGTTTAAGGTCTTGAGACGAACAAGTATAATTTTCAGTGAATTTTTATGATGTGAACAGCTAAATCCATGATGTTAAAAGTTTCGTATACTAAACGTTAGCATGGGGCAGAACTTTATAAAAACCAAACAAATTCTAATGGTTTTCTGATAATTACTTAAAGATACATTATTGGAGATAAGATAAAGAGATGGCAGTTCTCGCTATAATAGTTAAAAACTAGATAGTGTAAAGGTAATTTGCTGAAAATTTCAGTCAAATTGATCCACTATGAGCTGAGAAAGAAGCGGGTGAAATTTTTGCAGTCTCGGTCATCATTACTAAAATCATTAATATAAACAGCATAGTCTCGATTATCCACTTTTTTTGATTTAATTATCAATGGCCGTTAGCGGCATATAGGAATCTAATCCAGCCAACATCGAAGGCTAGCCTTGACATCGAGAGTTGATTATGGTCTGGATAAGTTAATTAATGTCTAATTGATAATTTAGATAACATTTCAGGCCTAAAGAAAGACTTGTAATAAGCAGATTTTGCTCTTGCATAATGCATGTTTAATGAGTTGTTACTCTTAATCAGATTTTAATGTATTATAAATGTTTCATTACCGAATAAAGTAAAAATATGCGACAACTCTTGTTGACTGCCCGGACGATTTAGCTCTGGTGGGTGTATGTTTCGTTGCCTGGTAACCTATCTTTATACTTTTGATGACCTACACTACATGAAGATCTGACCAGTTGTAGTAAAAGGTTGCATCAACCTGTCTGGATATCAATTGCATCTTTCTGACTGGGTCACATCAAACCTTGTGTTGTCTGTTTCTGTTGATCAAATGTTTTGAACATTGACATGTGCTCATGCATGTGCATGCACACTCAATGTTATGTGGGTGTATGTTGTTGCTGCTGCTGTCCTTGTGGATGATTCAGAGGCTAATGCTATTGTCATGTCTTTTTGATATTTATGTTCATTATGTTATAAGGAGTAGGGGCGTCTGTTCAACCTTGTGGGTTTTCTACAGGTCCATTGATTTCTGATTCTTACTGTTTGAGTTATTGACCTTGATCAAACAACTAAACCAAACCTGTTGCATCTGCATGTGAAATATATAAGAGTGGTTGTGATTTATATTTATTTTGTGTTTTATTGTTTAGGTCTGAGGGTAAAACACACTATTTAGATGCTCAGGACAGATCTAAAATGATATATTGGTTACAAGAATTACAGAGAAAACGCAGGGAATACAGTCAAAAACGTACTTCATTGTCGACAGAGAGAATGCAAGTCACAATTAAGGTAAATTTATTTTGTTAAAAAAGTCTTTGAAAGTTGTTTGAGGAATGGGGTTTGAGTGGCCGAATGGTTAACACATATGCTTTGGATCACAAGGTTTGTCATTTAGTCAAGTGGCGTGGTTTCGATTCCCCACTTGTACGTGACAAGGAGTAGGGTCGCCTGTCCAACTTTATGGGTTTTCTCCGGATCTTCCAGTTTTCCTCTCACTGCTAAAGATCCGTACGCACAAGTGATTTATTGAAAAAAAATAGAAATAGAACCATGTGTTAGTCCTGAAATGGCCTAGTTTGTGTTGAGTGGATGTTAATAGAGAGCTCTCTCTCTCTCTCTCTCTCTCTCTCTCTCTCTCTGCCGATCATACCCACCCACCTATGATCATTAATCATCACTGATGTATTTGATGGGATTCTTTTTAATCCGATTGAATCCATGATTGATTTTGGTTTTTTTTGTTCTTAATTAAATATTTTAACTAGATATTTTCAAATGATCTTCAGAGGCTTTAATATTTAATATTTTATAAAGGTACACGTATTTCCTTAATTAGTCAAAATTACTTATATATATAATTGCTTATGTAATTATTTATCATTATATCCTGAATGATATTAATGGCCAAGTCAGTCAATATAACATTATGTCATGTTGTCAGTTTATGAAGTAATCAAGCATATACACCCGGTACATCCTTGATAAATAAGGCCACGTAAATCCTTACCAAAAATCTGATGCAGAAGAAAGGTTTTTATTTTTGTTTTTATTTTGTCACAGGGTCACTATACTGGGCTACAGGTTAATATGTTTTCTATGTATGATTATTCAGTATCAATAACATTTATTAGCTATGCATATTCGATAAACGAGTCTATGAATTCATTCAAATTCTTGTCCTGTCACTGTAACCTGGATATCATGTAATCTTGTGTATTTTAGCACTAATTTCTTTTACATTTGTTTAATATCAAATCTGTGTTTTAAAATTTGTGAAAATCATTTAAAATAACCCCCAAAAATATTTACGTGCGGTAATTAATGAGACTAAAAAATAAAAACAGGTTATGTGGCTGTTTTAAAGTGACACAGGATTATAATAGAATCAGAATATTTCTTTTATATGGCCTAAATATATTCTTGTAGAGAATGTAACAGTATGTTAGGCCACATCAATCTGAATTTTTATTTTTGTTTTTCTGCAGGTCTTTCTCTGGGCCTTAAAAATTATATAAGTTATTAACTAAACATTTATTAACATGACAAGCCCATAATCAACTCTCTAGATCATCGTATGGCTCCGATTTTAAATAGATTAGAACGGTTGGACATCTAATGATTTCATTTAAAAATTTAGAAGCAAGGCTAAGTTTCAAAAACCAGAACCGTGGCTACGATAATAAACAATCAATGCACACATCTTGTCAAAACTACAATCATTGATAACTTTGGTCAGAATAAAGAAATTTGAATGAAATTTTCAATATTTTCATAATCTATTTTTGAATTATTATGACTAAAACGACCAGATCTTTATCTATCTGTAACTTGACAGTCTTTAATAAACACCAATATACATATATCATAAGGTCTGTTACATGTATGAGGTGTGGTTTCAATTCGATTCCCGGCTTGTATGTGACAAGGAGTAGGTTCGCCTGTCCAACCTCGTGGGTTTTCTCAGGGTCCTCCGGTTTCATCCAACTGCTAAAGACCTCTACACACAAGCGAATTATTGAAATAAAATTGAACCATATGTTATTCCAGAAATGGTGTTGGTTGGTGCGTGCGCGTTGTATCATACATTTACATGTAAGATCTGTCATTGAGTCAGCTGGTGTGGTTTCGATTCCCCGGTTGTACTTGACAAGGAGTAGGTTCGCCTGTCCAACCTCGTGGGTTTTCTCAGGGTCCTCCGGTTTCATCCAACTGCTAAAGACCTCTACGCACAAGCGAATTATTGAAATAAAATTGAACCATATGTTAGTCCCGAAATTACCTAGTTTGTGTCGAGTCATAATTTCTACCTGTTTCAAGATGTATTTAAATTCCCCCTATATCAAGTTGAGTTTTCTCTATGAATATTTCTCCAGAATTTATGGAGACTCCTGTCTTGAATGAATTAGTTAATTATTATCACGAACATGATAAAGCATATTGTCCATGAAGTTAATTTTGTCTCAGCTAGGAGTGTCGTAACGTACCGGTAAATAGTTGTTTGTGTCATCCCCATCTCTTTCTCTCTCTCACATATATCAATGGACTCTCATATTATATATACAAATTGGTATGGCCTAAGTATATGTAATAGTTTCATTAATAAATATCAATATTGTATGGCTGTCAAATTTGTTTGACCTTAGCTTTATTGATGATCACTTGTGGGCTATTATATCATAGTTTTTTTTACTTTCCAGGTTTCGTTTTAGCTCTATACCGATTTTCATTATATTGACCATCAGTTGATGCTTATAGACTTATTATATCACATTGTACATCAATAAATGATCAGCCCAGATGTTATGTTATAACTGTATGATCAACTATGGTTTTAACTGTGTATGCTGTTCTTAGTGGATGCACTATTGGTATTCACTGGACTATCATATATACAAATTCGTTTGGTCTAAGTAATATCTTTTTTAAGCAGTGGAAGACCACAACAACTCTGGTAAAGTAGGTCTAATGTAGCTGGAGACTAGTAGCCTGAGGACATCTAAACTGGGATCTCAGCGATACACAAGGGGTTCAGGAAGCAGATGAAATATGTAGAGAAGCAACCCCTATAACCAGTGTAGATTAGACGAACTCCTAGGTAGTAATCAACAAATTTATCCATGTAGACGTTTCGGACTATACGTGTCCTTCTTCAGTACTACCCAGGAGTTTGTTTATCTTTACTGGTTAGTCCGGGCAAAATTTCCCTCATAGCACACTGTATGGCATATTCCCGTCTTCATTAGCCCAGTTCGGAGCAGAACAGTAGGACGTTAAACCCCATTTCATTTCATTTCATTTCATTTCACTTTATTGGTTATAGGGGTTGATTCTCTACATATAATATCGTTTTTGATATTCACTGGACTATCATATCATATATATACAAATTCATTTGGCCTTAGTAATAGCTTTATTGGTATTCACTGGGCTATCATATGGATGATATACAAATGGCTATAAAAGTCACATCAAATGATTTATAATTATAATTATAGAAGCAACAACAGGCAGGTGGTTTATTGAGATCGAAACCTGCTGTAACAGACGACAGAATGAAATCAACAGATGGTACAATTCCTAACCTCGTATTCCCGGGAGATGAAGTGGAAGAAGATAGAATAACATCACCGATGAAACCGACCAGTTTCTCATCTGGTTTAAAAACAGAAATATTAAACGTGATATCTAGTATAAAAACTCAGTCACCTTCAACCCCAGGTACAAATTATACAGGTATAGATGGGGGTGGGGGGCGAGGGTTGGGTAGTATGAAAACTCAGACACCTTCGACCCCAGGTACAATTTATACAGTATTGGTGGGTGGAGGGGGGAGGGTTGATATCAGGTATGAAAACTCAGGCACCTTCAACCCCAGGTACAATTTATACATGTATCTACAGTTTAGACGAGGGGAGGGGGGATATCTAGTATAAAAACCCAGGCACCTTCAACCCCAGGTACAATTTATACAGTATATGTGTGTGGGGGGGGGGGGGGCAGGGCGGGGGAAGGGTTGTAGGGGTTGAATAGTATAAAATTTCAGACACCTTCAACCTCGGGTACAATTTAAACAGGTATGGGTGGGGGGAGGGCGGGGTAGGGTTGATATCAGGAGATATAAAAAGTCAGGCACCCTCAAACTCAGGTACAATTTATACCTGTATCTACAGTATAGAGGGGGGTGGGGGGTTGTTATCTAGTAAAGCTATTTGACACCACCTCGGGTAGATTTTCTAGTTTATACCAGGGATGCTGTTTCAAATTTTTTCTCATCAGACATTTTTAATTTGGGGATAAGAGAGACCAGAATTAGGTCATCAGAAGTCATTTGTCGGCTTCAGGAAATAGCTTCCATTTCCTTCAGTAGCGTACACTAAGGACCGGGTGTCATTCAGATTTGACAAAAAAGGAAAGAAACTAAGCTTACCGTCTAGAATCTAATACACGTATCCAATAGATTGCCATCCAGAAAGTATTAAATGCCATCAAGATTCATAAAAAAACGCCCAGTTTGTGCTACCATCTAGTTTAAGAAACACTGTTTAGTTTTGACATTGTTTGTCTAGTTTATGACATTTGGTTTAGTTTTGATATTGGTCGTCTGGTTTATGACCATTTAGTTTCATAAACTAGACAACCAATGTCAAAACTAAACAGTGTTTCTTAAACCACACGTAACACAAACTGGACGTTTTTAGATGAATCTTGATACAGCATTTAACACTTTCTGAATGGCAATCTATTAACTGGATACGAGTATTAGATTCTAGATGGTAAGCTCAGTTTCTTTCCTTTTTCCGTCAAATCTGAATGATACCCGGTCCCTAGTGGTAATAGACAATACTAATTTATTTGGATGACGTTATCAATGCGAATCCTCTAAACTTTATCAAGTTAATACTAACAATGTAACCCAGGTATCATTTAATCTTGTGTATCTAACATTAATTTCTTTGACATTCCTTTAACATCAAATCTTTGTTTAAAAATTTGTAAAAATCATTTAAAATCACCCCAAATCATCTCATTTGTTTAAAACTGACTGCTTAATTTTGATAATGAGTGTCCAATTTACAAGTATTTAATTTCCTAACCACTGTTCAAAAATTAATCATTATACATCATTAATCAATTGGGTTGTTTATTTTTTAACAGTGATCGAGAAATTAAATGCTTGTAAATTGAATACTCATTATCAAAATTGAATGGTCAGCTTTAAATTGGACAGTAGTACAAATTAGATGATTTTTGGTGATTGTAAACGATTTTTACGAAATTTTTAAACAAAGATTTGATATTAAACGAATATTAAAGAAATTAGTGCTAGATACACAAGATTAAATGATACCTGGGTTACATTGTACGAAACCAATGACAATTTGTAAAATTATTTACTATTTTTTAAATAAACCATTTTATTTTATTACCAGAAAGACATTCTCCACCCGCATCACCACGATCTGGTTCGAGTAGCGAAGAATGGTCCTTATTAGAACCTGACCCTGTCTTCCCGTCAAATCAGACGACAACATCGTCAAATATCCAATCACCCAATTCATCTAAAAGTCAAACGAATTTTTTAAATACGTTAAAGAGGATGAAGATTGGGAAGAGAACGTCGAGTGATGGTAATATTAAAGTACAGGCTACGGCCGTTTGTGTGCGGTGTAAACACGTAAGTTGTGTTTCGGTTTAATTAAAATCCTACTTTTTTGTGGGGGGTTGGATAGCCGAATACGAGGGTGGTGGTGGTGGGTGGGGGGCTGCACAAATGGTTAATGCGTGCTCGGTGTGTCAAAAGGTCTGTCATTGAGTCAACTGCGTGGTTTTGATTCCCTGGATGTGCGTGACAAGGGGTAGGGTTGCCTTTTGGAGACTCCCGCCGTGTGGGTTTTCTCTAGGTCCTCCCGTTTCCTCCCACTGCTAATGGTAATATTAAAGTACCAGCTACGACCGTCTGTGTGCGGTGTAAACACTTAATTTGTATTTCGGTCAATCTGATTAAAACACAGATCACATTCATTTCGTTTTTTATAAAATTTCACTTTACTTGTCTTTACTACACTAGGATCTGGAAGAGTTGTTATATATCCCACGTTCTGGATGATGTAAGGGTTTAGCCAATGAAACGGTCTATTACGGCAAGCTCTTGGCAAGTGATGCACAGAACTGTGGTTAAACTACTAAAAACATCAACGCTGATTGATTAATAGGGTCAAAAACCACTCGTATGACCTATGACGCGACCTATCGCAACAACCGGTCAGATCTTCATGTCTAGGCCATCGAAAGTATAAAAAAACGAAATATAGATCTGTATTTTAATCATTTTGTATTTTGGTTTAACATTCTACTTTTTTGTGGGGGGGGGGGGGGATGGCTGAATGGTTAGTACGTAGGCATTGTATCATAAGGTCTGTCATTGAGTCAACTGCCGTTGATTCGATTCCCTGGTTGTGCGTCACTAGGAGTAGGGTTGTCTGTCCAACCTCATGGGTTTTCTCCAGGTCCTCCGGTTCCCTCCCACAGCTAAAGACCCCTTCGCACTTCGCACAAGCAAATTATTGAAATAAAATTGAACCATATGTTAGTCCCGAAATTACATGTACCCAGTTTGTGTTGAGTGCTTTATTTCAAGTCTTGACCACAAGTTGCTGGAAATCAAACGCACATTTAGTAGGACAGAATCCAACCGATATAAACGTGTTTCATTTGATTAGTTTGATTCACTGCTATTGTTTTATTGTTTAAACAGCTTTATGAAGAAAATGTTTTATTAAAAGAAGATTTAAAAGCCACAGAAGAAGAATTAAAAGCACATCGAGAAATTGTAAAATTATTACAAAAAGAATTAGATACCAAAGCAACAATAGCAAATACAAGGTACCATAAAATTAAACCATATGTTAGCCCCGAAATGACCTAGTTTGTGTCGAGTGAACGTTAAACCCCATCTCTCTCTCTCTCTATCGTTTTTTATCTTAATCAATCATTCATGTTTCCAACTTGACGAAACTCGACTGGGACCACAACATGTCGGGCTTTATATCACTATAAACACTACAGCAAAAATTACTCTTTCATGATTCTAAGGAACATCATTTATTTTTGAATGAATGCAAAGCACCTGCTAAATGATAATCAGTTAATGTAATTATAATCTGAGAAATATTAGTACTTGGTGAATATTATCATACGACTGAACGTAGCTTATTTACCTAAAAAACCCTCTGAAAATGCTCTGATGATTTTTTATTTACCCACCATATGCCATTTTATGTGGCTTATCTGAAATTATTTATATATTTTAGACCCTATATTAAACATATACATTATGCAAAAGCTAAATCTGCCAATTGCAGGTCTTTCTTTAGGCCTGAAATATTATATAAACCATTAGACATTAATTAACAAAACAAGACCATAATCAACTCTTGATGGCATTGGATACTCAAGGATTTTACTAGATTAGAACGGTTCACCATTTAATAATGGAGGGTTGGATGGCCGAATGGTTAGAACGTGCATGCTGTATCATACGGTCTGTCATTGAGTCAACTGGCGTGGGTTTGATTCCCGGGTTGTACGTGACAAGGAGTGGGTTTTCTCCGGGTTCTCTGGTTTCCCCGCACTGCTAAAGACCCCTACGGACAAGCGAATTATTGAAATAAAATTAATCATATGTTAGTCCCGAAATGACCTTGTTTGTGTCGAGTGAACATTAAACCCCATTTCTCTCTCCATTTAAAAATTTAATCTAAAAATGGGAAAGCGAGGCTAAGTCTCTAATAAACCAGTGCCCTGGTTACCATAATGCACACATCTTGTCAAAACTACAAACAGTGATAACTTGGTTCAGAATAAAGTAATTTGAATGAAATGTTCAATATTTTCATTTTATGTTATCTATTTTTGGACTGTTATAGCAAGAACGGCCAGCTCTTTATCTAAATCTTACATAATGTATCTTTAAACTACTATAGAAAGGACCAGCTATTTATCTAAATCACAAGAACGACCAGCTCTTTATGAAAATCTTATATACTTTATCTTTAAATTATTGTATATATTAAATTATTTGTCTATTTAGGCCCCTCTATTAAAGGTACATTATGGGAGATAGGATAATGAGAGGGCAGTTCTTGTTATAATAGTTAAAAACTAGATAGTGTAAAGGTAATTTGCTGAAAATTTCAGCCAAATTGATCCACTATGAGCCGAGAAAGAAGCGGGTAAAATTTTGGCATAGTCTCGGTCATCATTACTAAAATCATTATTATAAACAGCTTAGTCTCGATTATGCACTTTTATTGATTTAATTATCAACGGCCGTTAGCGGCATATAGGAATCTGATCCAGCCAACATCGAAGGCTAGCCTTGACATCGAGAGTTTATTATGGTCTGGATAAGTTAATTAATGTCTAATTGATAATTTAGATAACATTTCTTGTAATAAGCAGATTTTGCTCTTGCATAATGCATGTTTAAATTATTTGTATATTTTAGACCAATATTTTAAATTATTTGTATATTTTAGACCTATATATTAAATTATTTGTATATTTTAGTAGTGAAAGTGTTGGTAAAGAGGAAGGTGAATTATTAGACATGTTAAAAGAGCGAGATAAACATATCGTTGAATTAGAACATTGTTTGTCTTTAGTACAAGAAGAAAAATCAATGTCTGTACAACAAACAAGGTAGGACGACTTCTTTTACATGATGGGGGGTTGGATGGCCGAATGGTTAGCGCGTTGTATCGTAAGGTCTGTCATTGAGTCAACTGGCATGGTTGTACGGGACAATGAGTAGGGTCACATGTCCAACCTCGTGGGTTTTCTCCGGGTCCTCCGGTTTCCCCCCTCTGCTAAAGACCCCTATGCCCAAGCGAATTATTGAAATAAAATTGAACCATGTGTTAGTCCTGAAATGACCTAATTTGTGTCAAGTGGACGGTAGAACCCCATTTCTCTCTCTTTCTTCATAAGATTTGTCATTGTGTTAAGTGACATGGTTTCGATTCCCCGTTTGTATGTGACAAAGAGTAGGGTCGCATATCCAACCTCATGGGTTTTCTCGGGGGGGGGGGGGGGGGCTTCACGATGGCTAGGTGGCTAAGACCTTGGCTTGCTAGCCTGGAGGTTGGGTTTTGATTCCCCACTTGTACATGACAAGTGGGGATTGGATGGCCGAATGGTTAGCATGTGCACGTTGTATCATAAGGTCTGTCATTGAGTCAACTGGCGTGGTTTCGATTCCCTGTTCTCAGGGGTCTAACAGTGTCTAGTCGTTCGGATGGGACGAAAAAACAGTGTACGTACAAGTTAGCGAGCATGTAATAGATATTTGGGATTCGAAATCAGAGTAAGTTGTAGCGCAGCTCTCTGGTCAAAATTTCCCTCATAGCACACTGTACAATGCATGCCTGTCTTCATTAGCCCAGTTGGAGCGGAACAGTAGGACATTAAACCCCATTTCATTACATTTTATTCAGATTTAAAATCCCTTCCTAGAGAATAAGAGAAAATAAGTGCCATGGTTAAGTATTAAGGTTATGAAATGAAATGGGGTTTAACGTCCTACTGTTCTGTTCCGACTGGGCTAATGAAGATGGGCATACGCCATACAGTCTGTCACGAGGGAAATTTTGCCCAGACAGCGGCACTACAGCCTACTCTTGTATTGAATTCCAACTGCCATGGGATCTTTTACGTGCACGCCAATGTGTACACAGGACCTCGGTTTTTCGTCTCATCCGAACAACTAGACATTGTCCTTTGCCAAGTCCTCGACCCTACACCATTGACAAGGGAAATTTTGCCCAGTCCGCAGCACTATGGCCTACTCTTATATCGTATTCCAACTGCCATGGAATCTTTTACGTGCATGCCAATGTATACACGGGACCTCGGTTTTCATCCCATCTGAACAACTAGACAGCTGTCCTTGTCAGGCCATCCGTCCTGCATCACTGAATAAAACTTTCCCTAAAATTCATAAGTATTAAATAACAATGAGTCAGTGTACAGGAAATATCAAGTTTAATCAGTTTTTATTTTTTGTCATGTATAGCTTAGTATTTTACAGTGAGTCAGTGTTGAGGAAATATTATGTTTAATCCGTTTTTATTCATATGTTGTCTTATAAATTATAGGGTACCATATCGGTGAGCTTTTTGTTATATAGAATGCCTTCATAGCTTGTCTTTAGTATTTACTTTCTTTAATTCGAGCATGATCCACCATGACAGTGTTCTTTTGTAGATGAGAGTTATTTCCCCATTTTTATCTGTTTAGGAAATCCTCTATACAATCTGATAGTGACCTTTTTTTTTTAGATCAGAATTATTTTCCTTTTTATGTTTATTTAAACATGCATTATGCAAGAGCTAAATCTGCCTATTGCAGATCTTTCTGTAGGCCTGAAATGTTATATAAACTATTAAGTAGACATTTATTAACATGACAAGACCATAATCAACTCTTGATGCGATCGCTAGCCTGCGATATTTAGCGTATAGGAATACAGTTTGTGAAAAATAGTTAAACGTAAAATAATCGACACTTTGTTTTTATCGTACCCACTTTAGTAATGATGATCGAGGCTATAGACTTAAAATTCAAAAGCTAATATCTTGGTTCAGAGTGGATCAATTTGTTTGAAATTTCCAGCATATTCTATTTACATTATCTATTTTGTAACTATTATAGCGAGAACGGTCAACTCTTTATCTTATCTCCCATAATGTGTCTTTAAGTAGGTATTCTCTGCACTGAATGACACCCCCCTAGTATGAATATATTTTCCATTAAGGAATTTAGCCTTTAAAGTCATTTAAGTAGTTATTCTCTGCACATTCTGCACTGATTGACATGCCAGTATAAATAAATTTCACATTTATAAAGGTTTTATTCTGAAATATAATTACTATAAATCACAATACATGGCCAGATTTACCAGTAGGCATAGCAGGCCATTACTCTAGGACCCACACGTATCTGGAGACTAATTTATTGTGCATAACCTTCTTTCAAGTGTAGGGGGTTGGGTGGCTGAATGGTTAGCACGTGCACGCAGTACCATAAAGTCTGTCGTTGAGTCAACTGGCGTGGTTTCGATTCCCCGGTTGTACGTGACAAGGAGTAGGGTCGCCTGTCCAATCTCGTGGGTTATATATTAGATACTGAAACTTGACAACATATCTATAAATTTTGGGGCCCACTAATAAGTTTGGCCTAGGGCCTAGAAGTAGGTAAATCCGACTGTTACATATTGATATGATTATATGAATATGGCCTGAAGAGGTTGAAGAGAACTGAAAACATTAGCCATAAACATGTGTTTATTTCTTTTTTCAACCTAATTTTTTATATATAAATATTAGGGATTTAGAAAGAAAAAACTAATTTCATCTTAGCTGCATATTCCTGAAGCAATGGCCCGAGAAATCCATCTCTGCCCATTGGTGGATTGGCTTCTGATACTTCAGCTTTTGAGGGAGTGTGTCTATTCTTCCCGTTCAATCAAATCTATCCCAAGTACAGCAACATGACAGCCCTTTGTTTAATCTGGGGTCTTCCCTAAAACTTTGGACAGTGATTTAAGGTATTAAAAACGGTGAAAATCTTGTTCGTCTCCATACAGTATTGTTTACATTGTATCAATGTTGATAGCCTTGTTAGTTTTTCTGCAATATTCTACTATGCACTGTTTAATGACAAGAAGTAGGGTCGCCCGTTCAACCTCGTGGGTTTTCTGTCGGCCCTCCGGGTTTCCTCTCACTATTAAAGACCCATAGTCAGTAGCGAATTATTGAAATAAAGTTGAACCATGTGTTAGTCCTGAAATGACATAGTTTGTGTCAAGTGGACGTTAAACCCCATTCTTTCTTTCTTTCTAATAGATATAGGGTCAACCTTGCTTGCTATTATAATTATACTAACATCAGCCATGACTTTAACAAGATATAACAGCTTTCTAACTTTTAACATATTTATAAGCCAGAATAATTTATTAGATTTTAATTGTTGAATTAGAAATAAATTTATAAAATCTAACAGTTTAAGTACTTGAAATATTCATGAATAATTCCCGCTGTTTAACTCTCTGTGACGTCACTTTCTGTAAACAAATGCTATTTAAAGTTACAATTTCATATTTTCTAAGAAAGTCAAAACATAATTATTTCTATGTCTTTTGCTCAGTAGGTTATTAACTCACTATTATACGATCATGGGCATTATTTCCCTCCCTTAAAAATCATTGATACAGAAAATAATAACACAATTACCTCCCTTGTTTTCCTATTACCTCCATGGAATAGCTATGTTCAAACGTTTGAATTTGAAGCTGAAAATGATATTTTTGCCAATTTCTCAGCTGGCAATAGTGAATTATAGGATTAATAGGATTATGCTTTAACAAGGTAGGACTGTTTATGGATACCATCTATTTTAAGGCTTTATTTTAATAAATTTTAAAAATATAACTTAAAAATATGAAATTGTAGCTTTAAGGATTAAAGTATTCAACAGTCGGGGTGGCCGAATGGTTAACGTGTGGTCTGACATTGAATCAAGTGGTGTGCTTTCGATTCTACGCTTATATGTGATGAGGAGTTGGGTCGCCTGTCCAACCTTGATGTAAATGTTTAATGTCTTGAACTTGATAAATTTGATGAAACTTGTTATATAGTTTCATTATATCAATACCGTGACTAAGGTAAATATGAGCATTTTCTGCTCAAGTTCAGCAGCATGGTAAGCAGTTTACAAAAAGATAAATGAGGAAGTGATTAATGAGTATCATCTAATTATTTTGGGTTTAAGACAGGGGTGATCAGCCTCACTGTTGGGTTGTTACCATGACATCTAACAACAGAAAACTAATATTATTATGACCTATTTATTCTCCTGTATATATGCATGTTACATTTTACTAACTCACCCACCATTACAGATGACCATCTCACCCATCATTATAGATGACCATCTCACCCATCATTACAGATGACCATCTCACCCATCATTACAGATGACCATCTCACCCATCATTACAGATGGCTATCTCACCCATCATTACAGATTACCATCTCATCCACCATTACAGATGCCCATCTCACCAACCATTACAGATTACTAACTCACCCATCATTACATATGGCCATCTCACCCATCATTACAGATGGCCAACTCAACCATCATTGCAGATGGCCATCTCACCCACCATTATAGATTACCAACTCACCCATCATTACAAATTACCATCTCACCCATCATTACAGATGACCATCTCACCCACCATTACAGATGGCTATCTCACCCACCATAACAGATTACCAACTCATCTATTACTATCTCACCCACCATTACAGATTACTAACTCACCCATCATTACATATGACCATATCACCCATCATTACAGATGACTATCTCACCCATTATTACAGATTACCATCTCACCCATCATTACAGATGACCATCTCACCCATCATTACAGATGGCTATCTCACCCATCATTACAGATTACCATCTCACCAACCATTACAGATTACCATCTCACCCACCATTACAGATTACCAACTCACCCACCATTACAGATTCACCATCTCACCCACCATTACAGATTACCAACTCACCGACCACGATTATTATAGCTGATTGATCAGATGCATATTAATTAATTGAAATCACAAATTATTATTCCTAATTAGGTTTCTAAAACCATGTCGAGGGGGAGGGTCGGAACAAAGTACTTTTTGTGGTTCCTCCAAAGCGTCCACTATCACATCACTTAACTTTTTATAATTTTCAGGCAGCTTGAAAGTGAGTGTGCGTCAATCAAAGAACATTCAGCCATGTTGCAAGAAATGCTTATGGCCAAAAATGAGATTATCGAAAAACTGACATCGCAAATTTATGAATTAGAAAATAGTCATGGTGACCATTTACATAGAGTATCTGTTACCAACGGAGAACCAACAACTTATCCCAACCAACAAAAGCATTTTGAACTTCCCAGTGCCAAAGAAGTTGAAAGCTTAAAGGCTAGTATTTGTGTCTGTATTTTGGGGTCTGGTAGTCGACTAGTCAGCTAGAAATGTGAAAAGTAATCGACCAAGATTTCTCTCATAAAGCAATTAGTTTCGTTCAGTTCGAACTCGTTGGGCTTAAGTGAGATTTGTGGATGTTCCCTTTATATAGTCATCGGGGACCAGAGCACAGAAGGAGTCTCTCATGAAGCGACTAGTTTGGTTAAGTTCGAACTCATCAGGCTGAAGTGGTAGTTTCGGGTGGACCGACACAGTTCTGTATCACCAGAGCAACTGCTCAGATTATTTATATTTGTAGTTAGTACAACCTCCGGCAGATGTTGCTGTGACATTACGTCATGAGGCAGCAGTAGCTGTGATATAAGGGAATGGGGCGTCTGTGGATGGGATATTAGGATGGATCTTTACTTCAGAGGTCCACCTGAGCAAGCTGGAATTCAAAGATAATTAGGCAGAAACTGTTAACAGTAGCAATATTCCCGACTCTTGCACATGGAAATGATTGTGTTGTATTTTGTTGACTTGACTATATATCCCGTCTCATTCGAAATATTTATTGTATTGATATGACTTTATATGTATTGTGAATTGGACGTGTATTGTATGACCTGGTCGTACATGACAAGGAGTAGGGTCACCTTTCCAACCTCGTAGGTTTTCTTCGGGTCCTCCAGTTTCCTCCCACTGCTAAAGACCCCAACGCGCAAGCAAATTATTAAAATGAAATTGAACCATATGTTTGTCCCGAAATGACTAGTTTGTGTCGAGTGGACGTTAAACCCCATTTCTCTCTCTCTCTGTGTATATTGTATGACACTAAATATTTCAATGTATCGTTGCATCTCCAGTGTTTGAGGCTTTGCTCAGCTTTGAATTGGTGAAGGTCTATTGTTGCATCCCCAGTGACGAAGTATTTCTTATATTTGAATTTGTGAATTTGAAATAAACACTAATATTTGTTTGTTTTTTTTTTAATATAGGATGCATGTAAAGCCTATGAATTACAGAATAAATTCTTAAGTAAAGAAATTTTAGAATTGAATGAACTACGCCATTATGATATGACCAGAGAGAAAATGATATTAATGTAAATTTTGCTTTTTACTGGATATTACTTTGTGTTTTAGTCTTTTTACTTCATGTTTTTGTTTTAAGTTTGTTTTTTGATAGACATTATTTTCTGTTTTGGGTTTTGTTTTGTTTTTTTTACTTGATATTATTTTCTGTTTGTTTTTGTTTTTTTTACTAGATACAAATGTAAATTTTGCTTTTCTCCTATTACTGGAAATTACTTGTTTTTTTTTTAGTATTTTTGTTTTGTTTTTTGCTAGACATTATTTTCTGTTTTGAGGGGGTTTTTTTTGTTTATTTTTACTTGATATTTTTTTCTGCTATATTTTTCTACCGCTAACTTATGCTATATTTATTTCTATGTACATACATCAATTGGCCGATCTCTGTCTTTATAAACCAAGGCATTTGTGTGGCCGATTAGGTTAACGTTAGATAACAAACCTCATCTCTCAACCCTCCGTGTTTCGAGATCAGAGATGGTGCTATATAGGACCACCTAGCAAAGCCCAACGCAAATCACATCAGGCCTCAGTAAACAAAATTGACAATATTTATCATCAAAACAATGATTGATTATTGTTATTTATAATATTTCTGCCACACCCAAATCCAATTAAGCATATAATCCTACCTGAATTAGGTATAAATCATCGTATTTAACATCGATGCGTTAAGCCGTTACTAGGAACGCCATTTTTAAACGGTGTAAGTTTAATTAGTCATAATAGTATAAAATTATCTTATTTTTAAGATGTTAAATGCATTAAAGATACATTATGGGAGATTTTTATAGAGAGTTGGCCATTCTTGCTATAACAGTTCAAAAGTAGACGATGAAAGAAGAATATATTGAACATTTCAGTCAAATTACTTTATTCTGAACAAAGTTATCATCGTTGTAATACTTGACTAGAAATGGTAGTCAAATGTATCTTCACCTTGGCCAATCGTTTGCTTTAATCAATCAGTGAAATCCTATTTAAATCCAAACTGTAACCGAGCCATCCGTGGGTCTACAGAATTGATTTTGGGCTTGTTGTTTAAATAAAGATCTAATTTATAATTTCTATAATATGTGAAGCCTAAATTAAGACTTGCAATAATCAGATTTAGCTCTTGCATAATGTATGTTTAATAAAGAAATTGAGTTTGCCACTTGGATCTAAAGGCACCCAATCGTAGCTAAAAACAAGCACATCAGTATATCTCAACATTTTTAGTTACGTTCTCGTAGCTAGGTTAACGTGCGTGTGTTAATTTATAATGTCTGTCATTGAGTCAATTAAACCAAATTTTAGTCCCGAAATGACCTAGTTTGTGTCAAGTGGACCCCCTCTCTCTCTCTTCTCTCTCTCTCTCCTCTCTCTCTCTCTTTTAAAATACAAGTCATTTTTTATACGCCCACATTCAATGTGGGCGTTGTGGGCGTATATTGTTGTCGCCCTCGTCCGTCGGTCCGGCGTCCACAATTGCTTGTGGGCGCTCTATGGGCTAAAGTTAATATCCGATTGACTTTAAATTTATACACAGTGTTTAAGGTCATGAGACGAAGAAGCCTATTAATTTTCGGCGATTTCCGATAATTACTGCCAGTTATGGCCCTTGATCACTTTGAAAAATCTTGTGGATGCTCTAGAGGCTAAAGTTAATATCCGATTGACTTTAAATTGATACACAGTGTTTAAGGTCTTGAGATGAACAAGTATATTGATTTTCAATGAATCTTTATAACTTGAACAGCTAAATCCATGATGTTAAAAGTTTCGTATACTAAACGTTAGCATGGGGCATAACTTTATAAAAAACCAAACAAATTCTAATGGTTTTCTGATAATTACTTAATGAGTTGTTACTCTTAATCAGATTTTAATGTATTATAAATGTTTCATTACCGAAAAAAGTAAAAATATGCGACAACTCTTGTTGACTGCCCGGACGATATAGCTGCTGTGGGCGTATGTTTCGTTGCCTGGCAACCTATCTTTACATTTGATATATAATTTAATTTTGTAGAGATACAGCCAAACTAGAAGGTGATTTTCTACAGACAAGGAGTAAATATCTATATCTATTAAAGGAATTAGAAAAACCAAAACTAGGTAGGTTTAACTGTCATACATCCCCCCTTGTCATTTTCCCAAGACAAGAGTAGGGTCGCCTGTCCAACCTCGTGGGTTTTCTCCGGGTCCTCTGGTTTCCTCCCACTGCTAAAGACCCCTACGCGCAAGCGAATTATTGAAATAAAAATTAAACCATATGTTAGTCCCGAAATGACCTAGATTGTGTCGAGTGGACGTTAAACCCCAATTCTCTCTCTCTCTCCCATTTTCCCAAATATAGCTCTGTTTGTTTTATTGGATCAAGTTATAACTCGTTTTTAATGAATAGTGAGTTATTACTATTATATGTGTAGTGTGTTCCAATTGTGTATCATAGAAACCTAGGGGAAGCCAGATTGGGTGAGACGCTGGAGATGGCGACTTGCTTCCGGTTTTGACCTAGACAGTTCATCAAGATTTTCTGGTGTGGTTTTTTCTTGTCGTGGTGCAGGTGTAGGACTGAGGGCCTAACAATGACAGCTGTCTAGTCTTTTGGATGGGACATTGGAATGCACTTAAAAGATCCTTTGGCAGGTGGAATTTGATATAAGAGTAGGCCGTGGGCAAAATTTCCCTCATAGCACACTCTATAGCATATGCCTATCTCCATTAGCCCAGTCGGGGCAGAACAGTAGGATGTTAAACCCCTATTTCATTTCTGTTATGTGGGTTTTGTTTGTCTGTGGTGTGGTCCCCCTGTTCTTACTTTGCCCAGGACCCAAATTCAACTGTCCAGGACCCAAATTCAACTGTGGCCCGAATTCACCCTTGGCCCAAATTCACCAAGGCCACAATTTCTCAAGGGCCCAAATTCTCCAGGGACCCAAATGTGTTGGCCTAAAACATTCACGGGGTAATGCTGGTTAATTTGATACCACATATGAGGGGGTGAATCCCGACAACGAAGCGTGATACGTGAACATTCCCACATACACACTTTGATTTATACGAGGAGTTAGATGGCCGAATGGTTAGCACGTGCGCGCTGTGCTGTATCATACGGTCTGTCATTGAGTCAACTTGCAGGGTTTCTATTCCCAGGTTGTACGTGACAAGGATTAGGGTTGCCTGTCTAACCTCGTGGGTTTTCTCCGGGTCCTCCGGTTTCCTCCCACTGCTAAAGACCCCTACACGCAAGCGAATTATTGAAATAAAATTGAACCATGTGTTAGTCCCGAAATGACCTAGTTTGTGTCGAGTGGACGTTAAACCCCATTTCTCTCTCACTCTTATATATTTATATATATTATGGGTGCATCAGAAATCGGATAAATAGCATGTTTTGTTTGTGTTTTGTGTGGTCCTCCTGAACTTACTATTATTATGAGTATTATTATATATAACAGAATTCTGTCAGCCACTGTATAAATGAATAAACAGCATGTTTTGTTTGTGTTTTGTGTGGCCCATCGTGCACTTACTATTAATATGTATAACAGAATTCTGTCAGCCACTGTATAAATAACTGAGTAATTTGATATAATTTGTCTCGACAGCTTCAATAAACACCATTATCTTATATAGTCCATACTGTAATCAATACCAACAGTTTGTTCCTGGTGTAACAGGTTGGATTCATACACAAAAACTCACAAATACAGCTTGATTTATAATTTATGCAAGACAAACGGTATTGTTCGTACATCTCTAATGGATATTTAAATATTAAAATGTTTATAGCACATGTGATTGATTCGTAATTAAGGTTACGTTAAATGGAGTCGTTTTTATATCATTCAATTCAAGTCAGTGGCTGTGAAAGTAGCTCAGTGTGAAACTGTGGAGATGTAATTGGTTTAATTTGGATAGGCTGTTTTTCGGAATGGTGGACAATTTTTAGGAATGGTCGGATTTCCTATGATTTTACGCTTGATGGATTTATGGAGCAGAAATCCTCACAGTGATTTATTTTAGATGATTTTCGAATAGAGCTACTGTAGTACTATCGGACTTCTTTTCTTGTTGTGTTTGTTTTCTTCGTGATCGTAAAAACCCTACAGAATAAATGGTTCTTACAACTTTATTGTTAAGCTGTAATGGCTTTGAAGGTTCCTCGTTCTCAATAATAATAGCTGCTTGGAATATCTGGGTGAACTTTGACCAATCTCGCTCAACACCTTAATTTCAGCACGTCTTAAACTAGCCTTGACGTTAAATTCCATCCCAAATATGGAATAAACCTCTTTATTTCACAAGACTAAAGGAGGAAACATTTACCTTATTTGGTCTACCAACCATAGGTCAATATACAGATAGAATTTGATGGATATTTTGACAATGGTTATGATTTTACCAAAATATCACTGTTTTTTTATGTATGAATATATATTCACGGTCAATAAGCATATGTGATTTGACTCTATAGACAGAGTGAAGCAACAATTTTTCAAAGAACCAATATTGTCTTAAGGACCAAAGTGTTACACTACTTAATATACAATATCAAAATGTCGCGAACGTTATTTCGATTGTTATGTGTCGATTTGGACGACGGGATGACGCCAGTTCCTACCTTGATGTTGGAGCGTCGTAGACATATGCGACGAGTTCGCATGCAGCAGCAAAAACGCAGAAGTAGATCGAAATCTCCATTTAAAAGAAGAGGTAAAAACGTTGATTTCAGATGTAAATTGGGATATCTTCATTCTCAACAGTTTTCGACTTAATAACAGAAATGGTGTCTTGTTATCTGGATGAAAGAAAAAACCAAGTTCTGTATATACATATTGGTGTGGACGTGAAAGAACCCTTTGCAGTTGCAATTGGTTAAAGAGTAGGCGCAAACACAGCTGACAGGGCGGAATAGATTTCTTTGATTCGGGACTAACACATGGTTCAGTTTTATTTCAAGGGGTCTTTAGCAGTGGGAGGAAGCCCACAAGGTTGGAAGGGCTGGATCCCATAGGGGCAGAACAGAGGAGCAAACCACAGAGGAGCAAATTGAAACAGAATCGACTTCTTTTCAGAAAGTGTTTGAAGGATTTTGGTAAAAATTGGTATGAATGATTCATGGCTTTGGGTTATTCAGATTTTTTCAGTTAAATGTGCTGGACCAAATAGGAGTTCGGCAGGTGTACCGTGAAGGGGCAAATTTAGGGTTCTTCTCCTAGTTGTCTTCCGCTGCATTTAACCAAATTGTGATGACAAAACTGCTGGTGAGTTCCTGTTGTGTTGGCTGACAAGTTAATTTTAAAAGTGTTTCCTTTACAAATATTTGTTTTTATTTTTTGATCTAGGTGGTGAAGAGTCAGAAGAGGCCAAGAAACAGGAGGTGATAAATCAGTTATTAGAAGATGCTCTTGAATCGGAGAAAACACAAAGAGTCACTGACAGACGGCAGTTGTTTCTTTCTTCACAAAGGTAAACAAAAAAAAAATGTAAAAAAAAATGGAAAGTACAGCTTTTAATTCAAAGTTAATTTTCTTTATGATGACATTTGTGTCCAACCACGTGGGTTTTCTCCATATTCTCTGGTTTCCTCCCACTGCTAAAGACCCCTACGTGCAAACGAATTGTTGAAATATAATTGAACTATGTGTTAGTTCCGAAATTACCTAGTTTTGTGTCGAGTGGATGTTAAACCCCTCTAATAGTTAAAAAATAGATAATGTAAAGGGAGTATGCTAAAAATTTCAATCAAATTATTTTACTCTGATCTGAGAAAACCAATAAAAAAACAAAGTCTTGTTTATCAATTTTTACGGTTAATCATGAATAAGTATTGAATCGCAGATCAGATTCAAATCTGTTTAAAATTGTAATCATCAGATGGCATCAAGTGTTGATTATGATCTTGTCATGTTAATAAATATCTTATCAATAATTTATATAACATTTAAGGCCTAATGAAAAGCCTGCAATAGGCAGATTTAACTCTTGCATAATGTATGTTTAATTGTTGTAGCATCGCTTTCTTTTTGCTTAGAATTGAACCTAGAAGATTTTCAGACAGAAAATTTCATTCAATGTAAATTCTTTGTTTAAAATTTCGTAAAAATCATCTAATTTGTACTTGTGTCCAGTTTAAAGCTGACTAATTAATTTTGATAATGAGTGTCCAATTTACAAGTATTTAATTTCTTTATCACTGTTAAAAAAATTAATCATCATACATCAATAATCAATTAGACGATTTTGGGTGATTTTAAATGATTTTTACAAATTTTAAAACAAAGATATGATATTAAACGAATATGAAAGAAATTAGTGCTGGATACACAAGATTAAATGATACCTGGGTAACTGTTTAATATGATATATTTTGTTTTTGGTAGTACTCAAGAAGTCGATAAATATGGTTTCCAGAAATGGGTATATGATGATGACGTGGACCTTATACTAGCCAGAGCTGGTCAGTTACAGGATGAATCGGATAAATTGACCAATAAACTCAAGGTAATAATACAGGTCTACAGTTGATAGGTTGTTTAAAGGGCTGATACGTCATATAGCGCTATGAGAATTTCTCGTAACCTACAATATTGTGAGAATTTAATCTATAATTTCATTTCATTATCTCGTTTGATGCCAAAAATTAAGACTTTAAACTCCATTTTATTAGCTGGGTGCAAAAAAGTAAAGCATTGAACACTATTTCATTTTGTTTATACTTAAACCCAACTTGTATTCCGGGAGCCACGGTGGCTAGGTGATCAAGGCGCTGGCTAAATGGGTAAGAAGCTTGCTCGCTCACCTAGTGGTTGCAAGTTTGCTACCGGTGTTGGTCGAGAAAGTTCATCAGATTTTTCCGATATGGTTTCCCCTTGTCAGTGATGCAGGAAGGCGGGCCTGATAAGGACAGCTGTCTAATCGTTCGGATGGTACTAAAAACCAAAGTCCTGTGTACAAATTGGCATGCACGTGAAGAATCCCTTGACAGTTGGAATTCAATATAAGTGTAGGCCATAATGCCGCTGCCTGGGCAAAATTTCCCTCGTGGGACACTGTATGGCTTATGTCCATCTTCATTAGCCCAGTCGGAGCAGAACAGTAGGACGTTAAACCCCATTTCATTTTGCTACCTTATTTTCCTTTCTTTTCCACTACTTCAACAAGAGGGGGTTTGAATGGCCAAATGGTTAGCATGTGCACTTAGTTGCATGTTTTTTTCTGGGTGCTCCAGTTACATCCCACTGCTAAAGACCCCTACTCACAAGCGAATTATTGAAATAAAATTAAACTATATGTTAGTCCCAAAATGACCTGGTTTGTGTCAAGTGGACGTTAAACCCTCTCTCTCTCTCTCTCTCTCTCTCTCTCTCTCTCTCTTTTTAAAGCAGATGTATTATAAATATTTCAATGTATCCCATATTGATCTACAAACCTAATTGAGGTCAGATATCCATTTTATAAAGAGAGAGCTTAACCAAGAATTGATTTTAATTTTCTTTATTCTGTACTTTAACACTTGTGACACGATGACCTAATTTGTTCATCCGTTCATGTAGAAAATTTCCACTGATTCTATTATTCTTTAAAATAATAAAGATATTGTGACCCGTTGACCGTAATTTTTTCGTCCGTTAACATAGAAAATTTCTATTGATGTTATTATTCTTTTATATAATAAATATATTGTGTGAAAGTGAACATATGGTACAATTTTATTCCAATAAATCACTTAGGGCTCTTCAGCAGTGGGAGGAAATCAGAGGACTCAAAGAAAACCCACAAAGTTATCAGACGACCTTACAATTTTATTTCAATAATTCGCTTCGGCGTCTTTAGATGTGGGAGGAAGTCAGAGGACCCAAAGAAAACCCACAAGGTTGGTCAGGCGACCCTACTTCTTGTGCGATTGAAACCAATTGTTAAACATACATTGTGTAAGAGCTAAATCTGCCTATTGCAGGTTTTTATTTTGTCTTCAAATGTTATTTAAACTATTTTTTAGACAAGCTTATAATCAACTTGGGGGGTTGGATGGCTGAATGGTTAGCGAGCGAATTATAGAAATAAAATTAAACCATATGTTAGTCCCGAAATGACCTAGTTTGTGTCGAGTGGAGGTTAAACTCCATTTCTCTCTCTCTCTCTCTCTCTCTTTCTCTTTCTCTCTCTCTCTAATTAACTTTCTAGAATGTTGGATGGCAGAAATATAAACTGCAATTGCCATTTAATGATTTAATTTAAAAATGGAGAAGCGAGGCAGAGTCTCAATTAATAAACAATATTTGCCACATCAAACTTCAAACATTGATAACTTGACTCAGAATGAAGTAATCTAAATGTAATTTTCAATATATTAATTCTGAATTATCTATGTAGGAACAATTATAGCAGGGGATCACGTGGCTAAGTGGGTAAGACGCTGGCTTGCTAGCCTGGAGGTCGGGTGTTCAATCCCTGCATTGGCCGAGAAAGTTCATCCAGATTTTCCGGCGAGGTTTCCCCCTTGTCAGTGATGCAGGACGGAGGGCCTGACAAGGACAGCTGTCTAGTCGTTCGGATGGGACGAAAAACCGAGGTCCCGTGTACATATTGGCGTGCAGGTAAAATATCCCTTGGCAGTTGGAATTTGATATAAGAGTAGGCCGTAGGGCCACTGCCCGGGCAAAATTTCCCTCATAGCACACTGTATGGCGTATGCCCGTCTTCATTAGCCCAGTTTAGGAGCAGAACAGTAGGACGTTAAACCCCATTTCATTTCATTAAACTATTATAGCAAGACCGGTCAGCTTTTTATCTTACTTAATGCATCTTTAACTCCATTGTGCACATGGAAATTAAATGATAATTATCCCATGCTAAATAAAGGTAAGGTAGGAGAGGGGGAGGGGCAAATAGTTTAACATGTGTGCTTAGATCATTGATCTCTCATTGAGTCAAGTGGCTTTGTTTCAATTCCTCACTTGTACGTTACAAAGGGTAGGGTCGTCTGTCCAACCTTGTGGGTTCACTTTGGAATTATAGATCTAACTTGGATTTATCGATTTAGAAATATTTATAGAGTTTGGAAGAGAGAAGTAGTAATTTATTGATGCCATATTATGATTTAGTCTCGTGTTATTAATATTTTCTCAAAATGTGTCATTTGGTATCAATATGTGTTATTTAATATCAATATGTATCAGTATGTGTCATTTAGTATCAGTATCACAATGTTTCATTTAGTATCAAAATGTGTCATTTGGTATCAAAATGTGTCATTTGGTATCAAAATGTGTCATTTGGTATCAATATGTGTCATTTAGTATCAGTATCAAAATGTGTCATTTGGTATCAATATGTGTCAGTATCAATATGTGTCATTTAGTATCAATATGTGTCAGTATCAAAAGTAGCAATATTAAAATATGTTTTTTAATATCACAATGTGTCATGCAACGCTCACCCTGTCGATCACCATTTCCATCAATTGCAATGAATATACAATTTTGTTAATTAATTTTAATAATAAAACAATGTGTCATTTAATATTATCATACATGTTATTTTTATATGAAATTTATTTATTTTAAAGGAAGCGGAAGAAGCGACATCACATCAAGTAAAATGGGAGAACTTTATGGTTGGTCAGAGTGGAAAATATCTGACCCGTTCTCCAGAATTAAAAACTTTAATACGATTAGGTATTCCACACGAATACAGAGAACAAATATGGAGAGGGTAGGTCATCTCACATTCCGTGATTTTATACACAGGACAGAGAGAGAGAGAAAGGGGGGTTTAACGTCCACTTAACACTAACTAGGTCATTTCAAGACAAGGAGTAGGGTCGCCTATCCAACCTCGTGGGTTTTCTCCTGGACCTCCGGTTTCCTCCCACTGCTAAAGACCCCTACCTGCAAGCAAATTATTGAAATAAAATTAAACCATGTGTAAGTCCCGAAATGACCTAGTTTGTGTCGAGTGGACGTTAAACCCCATTTCTCTCTCTCTCTCTCTCTCTCTCTCTCTCTCTCTCTCTCTCTCTCTCCCTCTCTCTCTCTCTCTCTCAGAGCGAATTTATTCCCAGAAATAATACGCAGAACGTTGTAATCAGGCTTAAATATTTTGATGGCCATATCATATTTACTTGGGAGCCACAGTGGCTCAGTGAGTAGGACGTCAGCTCGCTAACCCGGAGGTCCTGTGGTCGATCCCTCCATTGGTTGTTGGTCGAGAAAGTTCATCGTGATTTTACAGTGTGGTTCCACCTTGTCAGTGGTGTAGGATGGGGGAGGGGAGCTGGAAATGGCAATGTATAGTCCTTCGGACGGAACAAAAACCTGAGATCCGGTGTACACATTGGCGTGCACGTAAAAGATCCCTTGGCAGTTGAAATTCAGAATAAGAGTAGACGATTGAGCCACTGTCTGGGCAAAATTTCCCTCATAGCACACAGTAGGACGTTAAACCCCATTCCATTTCATTTCATTTTATTTTATTTTTATAATTACTGATATGAAATAAATTTTTTTTCAGGTGTATTAATTTGTATGTTGGAGAAACGAAGACTAAATTAGGTCCATCATATTATAAAGATTTAGTTCAAAAAGGAAAATCATCCAATTCAGCTAAACAGGTAATAGTTATTTTATTTTTGCTAAACATATGTTTGTAAACCTGATATCGCTTAGTCATTCATTTGAAGGGTTGGATGGCTGAATGGTTAGCGTGCGCGCGCTGTATCATAAAGTCTGTCATTGAGTCGACTGGCGTGGTTTCGAATCCCCGGTTGTACGTGACAAGGAGTAGGGTCGCCTGTCCAACCTCGTGGGTTTTCTCCGGGTCCTCCGGTTTCCTCCCACTGCTAAAGACCCCTATGCGCAAGCGAATTATTGAAATAAAATTAAATCATATGTTAGTCTTGAAATGACCTAGTTTGTGTCGAGTGGACGTTAAACCCCATCTCTCTCTCTCTCTCTCTCTCTCTCTATCTAGTCGTTCATTTCTCGTACTGGGTTCTTTACAGACCATATAATTTCAAAATCTTGGGTTGTACACAATCTGATTAAAACACAGATCCAATTTCGTTTCGTTTTTATAGTTCAAAATTTTGATTTTACTTGTCTTTAATACACTTGGATCTGGAAGCGTTGTTATTTAACTCGTGTTCTGCTTGAAATGAGGGGACAGCCAATCAAACGGTCTATCGAATCAAGCATTTGACCTTTTTTGCGCGGAACTGTGGGTAGACATTAGCGGCAATAGAAATCAAAACAAAGCAAAAGTAGATAAAAAAATACATGGCGGTGGCTAAATGGTTAATCGAATGACTGACGTAATCGGGACAAATGTCGCTTGCTTGGTACCTGACGTCATAGAACGTGAACTCCCACTATAGCTTGTTAGATCTACATGTAGTGTAGGCCATCGAAAGTATAAAAAACGAAACGAAATATAGATCTATATTTTAATTAGATTGGGAATACTCTGGGCATTTTACAAATAATCTATGAGGGACCACCATATTTGCATGTATTCAAATCCAGTAAATATCGCTGGCTAACGAAGGCATCAGTAGTTGATTATGGTCTGGATAAGTTAATAAATGTCCAATTAATAATTTATATAACATTTAAGGCCTAAAGAAAAACCTGCAATAGGCAGATTTAGCTCTTGCATAATGTATGTTTAATAAAAGCAACATTTCGTTATGGATCCTCGAAACGTTATCAAGCTTTATATTACCATACTGAAATGAAATGAAATGAAATGGGATTTAACGTCCTACTGTTCTGCTCCGAACTGGGCTGATGAAGACGAGCATACGCCATACAGGGTGCTACGAGGGACAGCGGCACTACGGCCTACTCTTATATCGAATTCCAACTACCAAGGGATCTTTTACATGCATGCCAATGTGTACACAGACCTAGCTTTTCCATTCCATCCGAAGGACTGGACAGCTGTCCTTGTCAGGCCCTCCGTCCTGCATCACTGACAAGGGGGAATCACGCTGGAAAAAATTACCATGGTGATTTTGTTGTATATTATGTTTTTTAGTGTTTATATAGCCTGTCTTGTTTCATCATTATGTCATTTATTTTTGTATTTTTAGATAGAATTAGATTTATTAAGAACCTTACCTACAAACGTCCATTTTGAATCGTTAGAATCTGACGGGATAAAGAAACTACGGCATGTTTTATTGGCCTATAGTAAGCATAATCCAGACATTGGCTACTGTCAGGTTAGTATGTGTAGAGAGAAAATAACCCTTGGGGATTTCATAGTAAATATTTTTATTCTACATGAAGAATGATAATATATCTGAAATGAACAATATTAACAGTGCTGGAAATAAAGGTTATATATAGTTGTATCTGACAAAATATCAGACAACGCTGAACTGACATTTTGAACTTTGTGCCAGACATGTATTTATAATATCAATAAATACACAGAAAACAAAAATAAATCTGTGCTAGACAAAATGACAGGCACCAGAGGAAATAAACCTGACGAGACCTGAATTGTTTCTGACGATGTTTGTGACAGGTGCCTTGTTTCCAGTCTTGAATATTAAAACTATATGAGTATGGTTTCATAAACATAACGAAATACAGAAATGTGGCACTTATGATTATGCATATTATTGATGCGTATAAAATAATAATTACCGCAAAGAAAGTTCAAGGGAAGGGATGCCTGCTTGTTTGTATCCTCCATTTTGTTCACTAAGCAGATACATGTAACTCTATTTTAATGTCAAAGGGTTAAGACCACTAATTATAATAATCCTCTAATGTGAGAGAGAGAAACAGGATTTAATGTACACATGACACAAACTAGGTCATTTTGGGACAATTTTATAGTACAATCTTATTCCGATATTTGCTCACACGTAGGGGTCTTTAGCAGTGGATGGATTCTGGAGGACCCGGAGAAAACTCACGAGGTTGGAGAGGCGACCCGCATCTGCTCCTTGTCATATACAAGTGTAGGGTCGAAACTACAACCACTTTACTCAATGACAGACCTTACGATCTAAAGCATGTGTTTAACGATCTACAATATATTAAACACAATATTATTTATTTACTAAATGTGATGTAGTTAAGCACTGACCTTAATGTGATGTGTGACTTTTATGAAGTCGGTGACAAAGTAAAAATGGAGCTGGCTCACGAAGTCCGAGTTCCCTAGTTTGAAACTTGTCTTGACTGAAAGAATTGCTCAGGATTTTCCAGCCTTCTTCCCCCCTCCTTATCAGTGGGACAGGGGTCTGATAATGAAAAGCGTGTAGTTGTTCGAATGGTAATAAAAACTGAGGTCCAAAACATGTATGCACCTAAATGAGGAGAAATATTATCTCAAAGCTTCTGAATTAATCAAATTATATTTAGAACGTGTTTAACCAGTTCTATCAGATATGTAATAATGACTGACATCAGTATTGTCCTTTAACCCTTTCACTGCGTATACCCGGTAGTACCGGGTATTATAAAATGTCGGTAAAATGCCCGTACCCGGTATTACCGTGTACTCAGTAAAGCCCTCGCTAAAATTAGTACCGTAACTGCAAGTGCCATCTATTGTATTTTCTATACACTAGAACATATTTCACGTGTTTCAAAGCGGCAAACCGTAAAATGGCGGAGTGCATAGTGACAACGTAGACGATGCACTCTCGACGAAGTCGTGAATGACGTCTTGCTGACCAACACGTGGACAATTTCGAGGCGGGTGATACGCATAATTCGTTTCCAGTTACTTGATAATGGTAGTAGTCAGGACAGTGATTGGTATTATGAAGTGTGTGATTTGTTGCGCGACGTTCCGCCCATGGCTAGCTATGTCTCCCGTGCATGATGAACAAGCCCAATGTGAACACGATAGCCCTGTGTCTGCAGTAGATTCTGACAATAATTCTGATGTTGATAATAATGCTGGCCTGCTGGATCGTAAAAGACGTAGGTAATTCCTGATTCCCGAACGTGTAGATCTATTGACTGACTATATTGATAATGATATGGGACTTGGGGATGAAAGTGAAAGTGAAAGTAAAAACAAGGTATTGCAATCCGCACGTGGTCATGGCAGCGGGAGACGTGATGCGCGTGTTCGCGGCGACATTGCTCATGGTTGCTATTGATATTTTTGTTCATTTTATATATCTTTATCAAAATCCAGTGAAAAAAACAATATCTTTTAAGTATTTCATGGAGAAAAATTCGTTTTCGTGTTAGCTTTAGTGAGAAATGAGAAATCCAAAATGGCCGCCATGACGTCACGTGACTACATTATTATGCAAATTTCCAAAATTCTATTTTTTCCTCTTAGCCCAACCTCCTGCCCATCCCAACAGACAAAAAGATTTTTCATAAAAGCTTCCATAAGTACTGCTTGGCATTCAGTCCCAACCTCCCTTTTTTCCTCAAAAAAGGGTCTAGCACAGGCAGTGGATTTACGTCTAGCATTGAAAGGGTTAAACCTTTTTTCATTTCATTTATTTTTATTGCAGGGTTTAATTCGACTCGTAACTATAGCTATATTATTTTTATTGCAGGGTTTAAATCGACTTGTAGCTATAGCGTTATTATTTTTAACAGAAGAGGAGTCGTTCTGGTGTTTAGTAGCTATAGTAGATCATATCATGCCTAAAGATTATTATACTAAAACATTAGCAGCGGCACAGGCAGATCAGGTAAATATACACGTTTTATATCAATAGTAGTTGAACAGGTTGAACAGGTAAAAATACACGCTTTATATCAATGGAATTTATTAATTGAACAGACTCTGCTTGGGCATGGAAATAACCGACTTCATTGGACGAAAAGCAGAAGTTCCGTGTACAGAGGGCCTGACAAGGACTTTTCTGATGGGACTAAATACCAAAGTCCTGTGTACACATTGGCGATAAGGATTCCTTGACAGTTGGAATTCGAAATAAGTGTAGGTCACAGCGCCGCTGTCCAGGCAAGATTTCCTTCATAGCACACTGTATGGTGTATGCACGTTGTCATTAGCCAAGTAGGAGCAGAACAGTAGGGTATTAAACTTCATTTCATTTCAGCAGATTTCAGCAATGTAGGGCAGTCCAGGAGTTAAATGGTTCACAAATTGTTGATAGAAATGAAATGAAATGGGGTTTAACATCCTACTGTTCTGCTCCAAACTGGGCTAATGAAGATGGGTATACGTCAAACAGTGTGCTATGAGGGAAATTTTGCCTGGACAATGGCACTACGGCCTAACCTTATATCGAATTCCAACTGTCAAGGGATCTTTTACATGCACGCCAATGTGAACACGGGACCTCGTTTTTTTTTGTACCATCCGAACGACTATACAGCTGTCCTTGTCAGAAAATGTACATAGATGATGTAACTATTTATTGTTTGTTTCAGAGAGTATTAAAGGACTTAATACAAGAAAAGTTACCCAAGTTATATAGCCATTTTGAGACGTATGATGTTGACCTATCATTGTTTACGTTTAATTGGTTCCTGACCGTGTTCGTTGATAATATACCACCTGATACATTTCTTAAAGTCTGGGATTCATTCCTTTATGAAGGCAGTAAGGTAAAAACCTGGAATTTGAGTAATTGCGATTAATTCCTCTATGAAGGCGGTAAGGTAAAAACATTGTATACAGCATCTTCAATAGAGGGCTTGATCTCGCTTTAACTACGTACATCTTATCAAGGCCTTCACGTAATACCCTACAAATGTCGGCACTAATTTCGATTGGGTACAACCCCAGCTTGTGAGCCTATCAGATTCCTCGATCGTCGCGAATACCAAGTCTCGCACTTTCAAGCTAAAATGTCTACCTGTGACCAGAGGCGTGACAATCGAGTTGCAAAGTTCAACGTTCATACAATGTCAGGGTTTCAGCAGAGGTCACAATGTCACAACCTCTGATTGGACGCTACTGCTCACGTGTCTGTAGGTGACATAGCTATAAGTTTGGGAATTGTGAAGTAAACAAGCAACGGCCAGATGTTGTAAAACTCGCAGTCGTTGCTTCAGGAACATGGGTATCAAGTGGACTCTGTCAATTCCGACATTGTACAGGATCGATACAATATGCCTGATTACACAACATGTGGGAATACTCAATATTCTTCCGGAAGTAATAGATGTAGACTACTGGAATCTGCCGAGTGTGTAATTGATGTGAGAAACTCAAATCAAATATCAAGCACTCCCTTACAAGAGATTATTAAATTATCAAGGTAATCAACAAAGACTGACACGTGTTTTATGCTCACAGATAATTGATTGGTGATTGCTTGTCGGTTAACACCCAATGATTGAAGGCCGGATTATCCAATGTTAATTCAACGCAAATCGTGTGATGGGACCACTGATTGAAGGCTGGATTATCCAATGTTAATTCATTGCAAATCATGTGACGGGACCGCTGATTGATATCGTTATTCGGAATATATTCAGAATCTGGACTACTCAAAACGTTTTTGGTTGAAATAATAAGGAAATAAATCGGGACATGAAAATGATGACAGAATTCACAGAATGCCGTAGTAATCAGAGTTCGGAAGTGAGAGAGTCCACTGTACTTGTGTGATTTTAATGGTTAATTAGGATGAAAAGTTATTATAACGTGTCCTCTTTTGAGAACTTTAATGTGACATAAACCATGCAAGATGTCAACTAGCCAAGGACATTGCAAATTACAAAACTAAAAAATACCATTTTAAGTAAACATATAGGCATATTAGCAATATTAAAATTAGATTTTCTGTGATATAGACAGATTATTATTTTTTACAGGTGATGTTCCGGTTTGCTATAGCTTTCTTAAAACTTGTTGAAGATGACATTTTAATACAAAGCAGCTCTTTAGCAATAAATCGTTATATGAGGGTTATAGGAGACAAATTAACTCATTCAAAGAGAATATCACAGGTACGTGTAACTTATTGTCTGGAAAAGTATCATACTATTACATAGATTGTTTAACAGATTGTTGTTTAATGTTTATGTTTTATTTTGTTGTTTAATGTTTATATTTTAGATTGTTGTTTTAGATTGTTGTTTAATGTTTATGTTTTAGGTCGTTTAACAGATTGTTGTTGATATTTTTAGATTGTTTAACAGATTGTTTTTGTTTACTTATATTTTAGATTAACAAGTTGTTGTTTAATGTTTATAATTTAAATAGTTGTTTAATGCTTATGTTTAAGGTTGTTTAACAGATTGGTATTTTAGAATGTTTAACAGATTGTTGTTGTTTGATTATATTTTAGATTAATAGATTGTTGTTTAATGTTTATTGTTTTAGATTGTTGAACAGATTGTTGTTATTTATTGTTGTTTTAGATTGTTAATTGTTGTTTATATTTTAGATAATTTAACTGATTGTTGATTCTATATGTTTTAGATTGCCTTTCATGACTTAAATCCATTTCCAATGCGTACAGTGTCTTCCAGACGACTACATCACTTACAGCAAGTCAGAGTAAGTTTTTCTTTTTAAAACTCGCCCCGATGTCATATTTACTGCGAATCATGAGTGGCTTTAACTTGTGTCATTAATGGGCAAAGTTCGAATGGGATACTAAAACAGATTTTAGAGGTCATATATAAGAATATATACAATTTTTCCAAGGGGTGTTCAGTGGTCAAGTGTGTGTGTTTTAGATCAGAAGGTCGATCATTGAGTCAAGTGCCATGATTTCAATCACATACATGTACTTGACAGGAGTAAGGTTGCTTGATTCCCCGGTTGTATGTGACAAGGACTAGGGTCGCTGTCCAACCTTGTGGGTTTTCTCCGGGTCCTCCAGTTTGCTCCCGAAGCTAAAGACCTCTATGTGTTATTGAAATAAAATAAACCATATGTTAGTCCCAAAATGACGTATATAATAGTAATATTATTTTATCTACAGGCTGAACTAGGGGGTCACGGTGGCTAAGTGGGTAAGACGCTGGCTCCCTAGCCTGGAATTTGGGTGTTCAATCCCTGCATTAGCTGATGCAGGAAGGAGGCCCTGTCTAATTGTTTGGATGGGATGAAAAAACGAGGTCCAGTGTACATGTTGGCGTGCACGTAAAGGATCCCTTGACAGTTGGAATTTAATACAAGAGTAGGCCGTAGTGCTGCTGTCCGGGCAAAATTTCCCTTATAGCACACTGTATGGCGTATGCCCGTCTTCATTAGCCCAGTTCTGAGCACAACAGTAGGACGTTAAACCATATTTCATTTCATTTCATTTCATGTACAGACTGAACTAGCTGAATTGGATATTATACGACAGAAATTTTCTTCCAAAGCTATACCAGAAGATAGAAAGGATTATTATGATGATGAAGATGACGATGATGATGAAGAGGAAATATCGTGAGATTGTTGAAGATGAGTTTTAGTGTGATTGTGTGATATTTAACTAAAGTTTTTATATGATCAAAATATGAGAAATATTTATTTTTATAAATTATGAAATGTTAAATCGTAGGCTAAGTTTCTGTTCATTGTTCGTTGTTAGCATATCAGTTTATATTTATATATCGTGGGGGGATGGATGGCTGAATGGTTAGCATGTGCGCGCTGTATCATAAGGTCTGTCATTGAGTCAGCTGGCTGGTTTCAATTCCCTGGTTGTACGTGACAAGGAGTAGGGTCGCATGTCCAACCTCGTGGGTTTTCTCTGCGTCCTCCGGTTTCCTCCCACTGCTAAAGACCCCTATTCGCAAGCGAATTATTAAAATAAAATTGAACCATGTGTTAGTCCCGAAATGACCTAGTTTGTGTCGAGTGGACGTTAAACCCCATTTCTCTCTCTCTTATATATCGTACAACCAGGGTCTCCAACCCTTCGTTCTTTGTTGATATTATATATTTATCCTAAGAGGGGTCCCCAACCATTTCAGCCCGAGGGAAGGAGTAGCTGTCGTACGGATGGTCTTTGTGGGCATATCAGACCCTGTTACTAAAACTATCCGTTCGTAGCCGGAACTTAACCATGGGGTTATTCTAAATCTAATCAAACATGTTTTAAACATTAATTGTAGACTAATATACAATCATTTACTGTGTTCACCACTTGCGAGTGTATCAGGAACGGTTCTGGAGCAGAGTTTTTGAATTTTCTGTAATGTAAATGGGTCAACTGTAGCCTTAACCCTTTGGACCCGAGCTGGAGTACAGAGCAGCTGGTATACTGGCCACCATAGGTACCTGTTCGGCAAATCAGTAACGAACAGATACCTGTGGGAGCCGATATACCGACTGGTTGGAATTCTAGCTGGGTTTTTTTTAGCCACTCAGGTCCTAAGAGTTCATAATATTATGAAAAAATGTTTTGGTCCATTTTTACCCTGGGAGGCTAGTATATAGGCCTAATATCGTCAGGATGTCCAAAGGGTTAAGTCTTTGTATTTCGCTCAAGAAAATCATCAATAAACGTATTGAATGCGGTGACTGTTTTAAGAATACCAGGAATGATTCTAAGTTTAGAGCAGTTAATTTAAATAAGGTCTACTGTATTTAATCTCATATATAATACTGTCTCTATTTTAAACCCTTTTTATATTGTCATGTATTTCACTATATATAAACTTATATACAAACACATGCCTCAAAAAACAGCTATATTAAAATGTAATTCTGTATTTAAATTCCAAACATATCTTTGAAATTAGCTGAAAATAAAATGAAAGCTAAACAAATACCATAGCAACCAAAAGCAGCATATTTCATGCATTTATGATAGGAATTTGTCATTGGGTAACTAAAAGAGACATTTTTTGATGGCTCGCAATGTCATTTTTGTATATCCTGTCATGGATCTGAGATTTGTGTCTCAATTAGTTTAAACAATATTTGATTCAGATAAGATTCATATTAGGTACATACATTGTCAATTTATCTCCTTATTGAAAATCGTAATACAAAATACAATTACAAAATGCACACTTCGTATAACAAAAATACATGTAGCAGTATGATAATTGATTTATATTTGATGTTAATCATGTTAGTAAATTTAATGTGTCACTTTTATTACATTAAAATTTCATAATATACTTGGTGCGTATAATGTTCCATTTAGCCAGAGGTGATTTAATGGGAATCCAATATTCCCCAGCTAAATATATAACCACCATAAATAATATATTCAATAATATTGTCATTCCGCTCCTTAGTTATAAAGCGTAAATTAATTCCTAGAATATAGATTTAAATTTATAGTATTTGTAAAATTGAATATCTATAATATTGTCATTCCGCTCCATATAGTTATAAAGTGTAAATTAATTCCTAGAATATAGATTTAAATTTATAGTATTTGTAAAATTGAATATCTCTCATGAGGCTCCAATCTGATTAAAACACGGATTCTATTTCATGTTGTTTTTCATAGTTCAAAATTTTGTTTTACTTGTCTTTACATATAACATGCGTTCTAGTTGATGTGAGGGATTAGCAAATGAAACAGTCTGTTGCAAGGAGTTCTTGCTGTGTGGTGCACAGAACTATGGGAATCCCACTAAAAACATCAATGCTGAATGGTTAATCTACTGTCTAAGGTCAAAAGCCACTCGTATGACCTCTGACACTACAACTGGTCAGATCTTCATGTAGTGCAAGCCGTCGAAAGAATACAAATACGAAATGAAATATAGATCTGTATTTTAATGAGATTGATGAAACTAGTTTCTCCATAATTGTTTTAATACCGTGTCTGTGTTGTAAAGTTTAAACATACATTATGCAAGAGCTAAATCTGCCTATTGCCGGTCTTTCTTTAGGCCTGAAATGTTATGTTAATTAGACATTAATTAACAAAACAGGACCATGATCAACTCTATATGACATCACTAGCCTGCGATATTTACTGGATTGGAATATATTTTTTTAAAAGATAATTCAACTTAAAAATGGATAATCAAGACTTTGTTTTTTTTTTTATCTTGCCGAGGCTAGCCCAAAATTCAAAAGCTATTATCTCCGTTCAGAGTGGAGCATATTCTATTTTTTTAACTATTATAGCGAGACCTGTCAACTCTTTATTTAATCTCCCATAATGCTCCTTTAATTGATTCACAGAATATATATTGAAATTTATAGTATTCAAACTTGGTTATTGGAACAGTTTGTGTTTGTGTAATTTTAAAACTGAAAATCTATGTCATTGGCGAGTAGCTGTCCCAGATATCTCTCATGCAGCTACCAGTTTCGTTATTATTCGAAGTCTCCATTTATCATTATATACCTCAATTGCCTCCTAGTAAATATATTGGAATTTATAGTATTTGTAGTAAAATTTGTTATAATTGTATACCCTAGTCAAAGTGATTTATGTGTAAAAAGATTGTTATTGATCCGCGTGATTATTATATAAAGAATAATTTTTATACAAACCATTTCTATATTTTAATGATGTAACAGCTGTAGTATATAGGTTTCATATTTATTATAAACCAGTTTTCTCGAGGTTAACTGTTCACTTATAAAACAGCTGACTGTTATTTCTATTCCATTAAAATAGTCGGGCAGTTGAATGGCCCAATAGTTAGCATGTGTGCACTGTATCATAAGGTCTGTCATTGAGTCAATTGGCATGGTTTCGATTCCCCTGTTGTACGTGACAAGGAGTAGGGTCGCCTGTCCCACCTTGTGGGTTTTCTCCAGGTCTTCCGGTTTCCTCCCACTGCTAAAGACCCCTATGCGCAAGCGAATTATTGAAATAAAATTGAACCATATGTTAGTCCCGAAATGACCTAGTTTGTGTCTAGTGGACGTTAAACCCCATCTCTCCCTCTCTTTATAATTTACATGTATATATACCTTAGAGAGCACGAGTTAATCCCATCTTCCTCATAGACTATAACCGGGCACGGTACGGTAAATATTTTATATAGCGTACTGTACCGAGTACCGTGCCAATTTGCCCCACTGAAGTGAAGTGGTCACGGCACCGTGCCACATTGTCTATGATTGTTTCTAATATGACTGAATTATCTGAAGTGATTACTTCATGTACAGTGTATTTTGTATTTTTAATTGTTATATAAAATTGTTATTATTGTTAATCTATTCTTTCTAGCTATTCTTGCCTTAATTTCATTTACTCCTTGTTTCACAAAAATTTTCAGCTGATGATGGTTTCAATTCCCCGCTTGTACGTGACAAGGAGTAGGGTCGCCTGTCCAACCTCGTGGGTTTTCTCTGGGTCTTCCGGTTTCCCCCCACTGCTAAAGACCCCTATGCGCAAGCGAATTATTGAAATAAAATTGAACCATATGTTAGTCCCAAAATGATCTAGTTTGTGTCCAGTGGACGTTAAACCCCATTTCTCTCTTACCCCCTTCTCTATCACTCTTCTTCGCACGCCTACCCATAAATACTAAATAAACTGCTCTAGACATCTAGAGATGTGGCTGAGCTTTTATAGTATTGACATGGACACAGCTATATAAAATTAATGATTCCTTGTGTTCATTTCAAATTAAATTTACTGGCTGATATACGCACAGCTGTAAACCAAAGTTATAAAATATTAAACCCAACGGTAGTACCTGCTTTTGTATAATTTTGTATATAATTTTGGCTAATCCCTCACATCATCCAGAACGCGGATTATATAACAACTCTTCCAGATCCTAGTGTAGTAAAGATGAATTAAACGAAATTTTGAACTAAAAAACGAAACGAAATAGGATCTGTGTTTTAATCAGATTGTGTTACACAAAGGAAATTACTTTTTAAAATACTCAATTATAGCATTCTTGTTAGTATTAGTATGATATTTGAATTATTAGTTTTAAAAATAAATGTACATAATAGTAGGATATTATAGAGTCTGTATAATATTAGTTGTATATTATTAGTACATGTATTATACTTGTATGAATATGACAGTACTTATATTAATAGTTTGGTAGTGTTTGTATTAATAGTGTAGTACTTGTATTAATACTATAATACTTGTATTAATAGTTTTGCACTTGTATTAATAGTATAATACTTGCATTTTTAGTATAATACTTGTATTGGTACTATAGTACTTTATCAAGAGTATAATACTTTAATTATTGGTATAATAAAACTTGTATTGTAAGTATAATGCTTGCATTTTTAGTATACAACTTGTATTATTAATATAATTCATTTTTAGTATAATTTTAGCATTATTAGTTTTGTACTTGTATACTTGCATTTTTAGTATAATGCTTGTGTTATTAGTATAGTACTTGTATTATTAGTGTAGGACTTGTATTATTAATGTAGTAATTGTATTATTAGTGTAGTAACTGCATAACACTCGAATTATATTAGTATAATACTTGTATTATTAGTGTAATACTTGTATTATTAGTGTAATACTTGTATTATTAGTATAATACTTGTTTTATTAGTGTAATACTTGTATTATTAGTATAATACGTGTATTATAATAAATCGTAATACATGTATTATTAGTGTAGTACTTGTATTAATAAGGTAATAACAGTGTATTACTTTTATGAATAGTATTGTACTTGCAATGTGTAATACCCATATTAATAATACAAAACAATACTGGTATTAGTAGTAGAATACTTGGTTTTATAGCAGGCTATAATATTAGTATAATAGGCTACCCATAAACAGTATAATACTTATTTTTATAGCAGGCTATAATATTAGTGTATAAAGCATAAACAGTATAATACTTGTTTTTATAGCAGGCTATAATATTAGTATAATAGTATAAATAGTGTAATATTAAGTGCCATTATATTAAACAACAATCTGTGCCATACTATACATAGTTAGATTTTCTATTCCATAATTTTAAAAATAATAATAATATTGTTGCCATCATTGATTATTGTTGCCATCATTGATTATTGTTAAACTATTTATTTGACTGATGATTATGTATTTTTTGTACCGTTCCAGAAAGTGCAATAAAATAATTAGAATTATAAAAATTTTCATGGTTTTAAATTTAGTGTCAGTAGCGTATCCTTTAGGTGTGATGTTATCAGATAGTATCAGAGTGAAAGACAAACTAGGTCATATTTTAAAACTTTTATTGTAATAAAATGAAATGAAATGGGGTTTAATGTCCTATTGTTCTGTGTTCATGGGATCTCAGGTTTTCGTCCCATCCGGACATCTGGGCAGCTATCCTTGTCCCCTCCATCCTGCACCACTGACAACGGGAAACCAAGCTGGATGGAACCTGGAACCTCAAGGCTAGCGAGCCAGTGTCTTTACTCAATTACCCATTGGGCTAACACTGTAATCTGGGTATCATTAAATCTTGGGTATCTAGCACTAACTTCTTTCACATTCATTTAATATCAAATCTTTGTTTAAAAATTCATAAAAATCATTTGAAATCACAAAAATTCATCCAATTTGCAATGGTATACAAAGGACCTCGTCTTTTGGGATGACTAGATGCTTTTTTTTGTAGAAAATCCTAAGTTAGTGAGCCAGCAACATACACACCAAGCCATGGCAACTCTTGCTTGTGGAATGGGACCCCTGGGGAAAAAGGCTTAAAGATGGGTTCCCAGAAAAGTATTTATCGGGTGGTTATTTCCAATATGGCAATTTTGGTATATATGGAAAGTAGAGATATCCAATCTTACTAGAAAAATACTGGATTCCCCGAAAAACACTCATGGAGCGTATACAGGACAAAAATGTAAGGGTTCCCCTAATCAACAGCCCAACGATTATGACCTTCTGCACGCACGATGTCAAAGGTCACAAGTGAACATTGAGCGCTTGATGTACAAGTTGATAAACTTTATGAAGAGTTAGACGTACAATACTTTCCGAGATAAAAATGACGGAAAAAGACGCGGGTAGTGGATAATCCGAGAATTTAATTAGGATTCGATATTTGTAATAAATAATAAGCGATTAAGGACAACATCGTCTTATGTATGCAATGATTTCTCCTCTGACTCCCAAGACGTGACGTAAACATGACCTGGTTTGATCGAATTTTAATAGCAAGGCATTCCTTCGCAATTACAATGTTTGAGGAGGATTTGAAGCATAATTATGACAAATTAATTAGTTTGAATATGTTTTTGGTCCATATATACCACTAAATCACCCAGTTTGTACGCGGGAACCCATCTTTAAACAATGATAAGAACTAGATTTATGAACAATTCCTGTTGTAATCCTCTGGTTGTACATGACAAGGAGTAGGGTTGCCTGTCCAACCTCCGGGTCCCTCCCACTGCTAAAGACCACTATGTGCAAGCAAATTATTGGAATAAAATTGACTTCGTTTCTCTCTCTCTGTTGTACTCCAGGGTAAATGTGAAGATAGAACCATAAACCTTTATTCAACTCAACTATGTAATAAATATTAATGAACAAATGAAACTTTCAAATTAATGAAATACAACATATGGCCACTGAGTGTTTATAAGAGTGGCTACTGTTAGTTTAATTCTTTGCATGTTTATAAGAGTAGCTTCTGGCGGTTCAACTCTCTGCAGGTTTATAAGAGTGGCTATTGGTTGTTTATCAGAGTGGCTACTGGCGGTTTAACTCTCTGTGGGTTTATAAGAGTGGCTACCAATGGTTCAACTCCGCAGGTTTATAAGAGTAGCTTCTGGCGGTTTAAGGCCGTCGTTCGCACTTCATTTGGTGAATTTTAACAATAAAATCGTTTTTGAGGTTTTATGATCATCTGCGAGTAACACTATTTAGGAACACATACCAGTCATTTTTTTTTACAAAATTCTTCTTTATTTCTACAAAATTTGGTTCTGAATGATCCCACCCTTTTTTATTTTGCCCTAATTCCGCTAAAACTATTGATATAAATCTAAAATCAATAGGCATTTCATACGTGAAATACTCGGCTTCCGACCGGTAAACTGTCGCCATGTTGGATACTGTTAGAAAGCTTGGGATCCCCCCTATTGAAAGGAAATGACGTTTTATGGGGGTGTCTTGAAACCTTTCTTCTGTATTGAGATAAAAATAGCAAGCAAGAACAAGTTTTGCATACCTAATGAGGTTATTTCGAGAATACGTTATTTGATTGGTCGGTCACATAGGTCAATGGTGAAGTGTCCAATCAGAAGCGGGCAATCCTCTAGGTCAGGTCAATAGGCATGCGCACTAAGCTCATGTCCCAAATCAATCCTGGTTGCTATATTACTGAACCGTACGTCACTGTTTATCAATATTTTTGAAGATTTTCAAATAAAATGCGTTTGAAATTGTTAGATGACTAAATAAGTATGACAGACACTCATAATAAACAAAATGAAGATGAATATTCGTCTGCTAGACCTAGTAGTGGTATGGTTGCAATACCATTACCAGGTAGGCCTGCTGTCAGTGATTATATAGTTATGGTTGTTTTGAATAACATCTATTCCTATGTCAATGTTCGGTTGTAAATTTACACACAAGAAATAAAATAAGAAAATACTGTATATTGATAAGAAATACATTAGAAAATATATATATTAAAAGTCAGTTTATTAATATTAAATAAAATAAGAAAATACTGTATATTGATAAGAAATACATTAGAAAATATATATATTAAAAGTCAGTTTATTAATATTAAATAAAATAAGAAAATACTGTATATTGATAAGAAATACATTAGAAAATATATATATATTAAAAGTCAGTTTATTAATATTAAATAAATGAATTGAAAAGATCGGCGTAAGTTGTTCTACTGAAATACTTCAACTTCAGTTGTTGATTTCTCAAAACAGTTTTTTTCTAGAGTTACCAATTTTAGTCATGCTATATCTCTGAAAGTTATCGTCAGATTTTCTTGAAACTTGGAATATAACTTCCTATATAATAACTTTGTGCAATAGGAGAATTTTATTGAAATCTGCAAAATAGTTCCTGATATATTGTTGCCATAGCAACTGTGACACGTGAAAGAATTTTGAAGTTAACATTAAAATGTGTATAACTTGCTTTCTAATTATTATTCTGCTTAATTTTAAAACATTCTATTGAATAGTTTCTGAGAAACTGGATGACTAAAATTATACGCAGAAATCCAAGATGGCCGCCGTTTCCATAGCAACAGGTACCCCCCAGGAAAATTTTTCGGCCGTTTTTGTAATACTCAATGGATGTGTTCTTAGATGTGTAAGAATGGTGACTTTACCTCAATTATTAAAAAAACTAAAATTTTTTACTGTCCACCCCCTTAAATCATACACAAATTGCATATTTTAACATATTCTAAAATAGGCGATGACGTCCTACTTTTCTAAGCCAACCGGGTTATTGAAGATAAGCATATGCCAGGCAATGTGCTCTGAGGGAAACTTTGCCCGACGGTGGCACTATGTCCTATTCTTTTATTTCGATTTCTAACTGTCAAATTCATTAAAATATGGCACTTCAAATTGGTAAATCAGATTCATTCTCACGAACACACATTCATATCACATTTATCAACTAATACACATCTCTTTCATTCATTCATTACGGAAGAGATTTCTTGGCTCCTTTATTGGCTAATTTATTGGCTGCTTCGTTTCCAGGGATACCACTATGGCCCCTGACATGAACCTGTAAAATAACAATTTATAAATAAAATATCTAACTGAATTCTTCACCATATCGAGTTAGGGTAAAAGTTATGAGATCTGTGACAACTGGTACAATATTTGGCTTTAAAATACAGATGTGACGTTATCCTGTGCTGTTGGCGGACCATTATTTCAATGGGCCAAGCATATATTATTTATACTAGTTGAAATATTGGATCCGCGTGGCATATTTTATTGAAAAGCACATGCTTGATAGTATATGTATTTGAAGTTGTTTAATGGTCTCGTGCAAGACATTGCGTAATATATAGATATATATAGCACTCGTGCTATCACACTCATATAATATCAATATATTACTTAATGTCTCGCACTCGACCTTTAAACTACACATACACAGTGACTGGTGTTGAGATCAGCAGTGGGCCACCAAGCAAAAGATAGGTTGCCATGTAATAAAACAACCCCCTGGCAGTCAACAGGGGTTGTCACATATTTTTTCTTTTGTCAGAAATGAAAACATTTACAACACACTAAAATCTGATTAAGAGTAACAAGTAGTTATCAGATATCATTAGAATTTTTTGGGCTTCTAATTTAGTATACAAAACATTTAATATCAAGGGCTCTAACTCTGGAAGTGATTATCGGAAATCATTGAAAATCAATAGGATTCTTCGTCTCATGGCCATATAAAAATAAAGCATTTGTTTTTGGTAGACCTTTGCCATGGATCTCCTGAGCATTCCAGGTCCAGAATCACTTGCCCATTCTGATCTGTGTCCCGCAGAGGCCCTGGTGTTTAAATGACATCAACTGGTTGACTTCTGTTCTGGATTGGATGATGAATTGTCCGATAAAGGATTAAGGCAGATTAATTAGTTAATCAAGATAGGTGTTTGGCGGTATAACACGATAAATACGTTGATCACTTAATTACCTAATCAATCCAGCCTATTATCAACGATAATCGGGTTTAGTGGTAGTTATACACTCAGTACACTATATTAATTTTGGAATTTTGAATATTATTCACCATGTCTTGATGTCCGATTGGGCATATTCCCGGCAGGACAATTTTGGATGTTTGGAAAATAATGTCAAGTCCGGAATATACGGGTAAAATCCCATCTCAGTCTGGTTCCCTTTCGGTGCTCCGACAGACGATATAGCTCAGCAATTGAGACAGAAATGAAATGGGGTTTAACGTCCTACTATTCTGCAGTGACTTGGCTAATAAAGACAGGGAAAGTGAGACAGATAGAAGAATATCAAATTAATTACCCATTTTACATTTATTCCTTTTAAAGCTTCGTCTAATTCTTGAAAATCATCTTTATTGATGACAAGTTCTCCTTTTGATTTAATCCATCCATTCCGTTTCCAACCTTTGATCCATTCCGTTATACCTATAAACATAAAGTAAATAATTTCATGGCTGTACTAAGTTAAATACAATCTGGAGGAGCTGTGGTGCACCACTGACAAGGGGAAACCATGTCGGAAAATCCTGATGAGCCAGTGTCTTACCCCTTGTATGTCAGCCAGTGATAAATAGGAACCTGTTTTACATGTACAATTGAACCATTAATTTGATTCCTGTGTTCAAAATCTCCAAACGAACGTTCAACGCATGTGATACAATAGTAAGTGGAGGGGGACAGCACCACACACAATTACCCAAGACAAATCTACGGACAAGACACAATACGCAGAAATCACAAACAAACATACATATCAGATTAAATGATTGGATCCGGGGGTTAGCCGTAAGCGTCGACTGCGCTGTACAGTCCCGGGCCTGTAGTGATACAGACTTTACTCAAATTTGAAAGACAAACAATAAGGAATATAACCCAGAGAAAAACATTGTATCATACTAGTACAAGTCATGATCTGCTTTACAGTAAACCTCACATAAGTCGGATTCGTACAAGTTGGATCTTTGCTCAACTCGGATAAAATCATTTGGACCCTTTGATCCTGCACGTTGTTCTTATTAAATATCTTTTTTGTAAGTCAGATTTCCTAAGTTGGATCAACGCTGAACTCGGATTATAATGTTCAGTCCATTTGATCTAATTCCTGTGTCCAAGTTGGATCGGCAGTATCTTCAGAATTTGACTAAGTCAGTTTTGTCCCGATGGTCAAAAACACGGTTAGGTATTCCATGCACAGAACCCCAAAATACTTTACCCTATGATTTTGACTCAAATCAGCTTATTTGACGCGACATAATAATAGAATTTTTCCCAAAAATTTGAATACTTGCTGTCTACTCTACGAGAAACTTTAGCACATTTTTCAAAGATGGCGACAAAACGGACGTTATCTACTCGCACCAAAATGAAAGATGTCTACTTGCATATATGAACAAAAGCTTGAAATGTGCCTTTGAATCAATTATTAACCGGCTCTTGCAGTTTGTTTCTAATCGAGCTAAGATTGAAATACTGTATGTAATATGAATATAAGCATATTGAAGTAAATTAACAGAACTTACTGTTGATTACAAATTTACTGTCTGTATATAAAATAAGGTTTTTAATCTTTATCTTCTTAGCTTGTTCAATAGCTACTCGAGCCGCCTGCAACGAAACAAATGTTTTAAATTATAATAGATGTGTGGTATAAGGCAGACAGACGCTAGAGAAAGATATCAATTTAAGGGTCAAAAGTTTTATAATAAAAAAGTTCAGTGTATTAGGGAGAGAGAGAGAGAGAGAGAGATGGGGTTTAATGTCCACTTGACATAAACTAGGACTAACACATGGTTCAATTTTATTTCAATAATTCGCTAGTGCGTAGGAGTCTTTAACAGTGGGAGGAAACCGGAGGACCCGGAGAAAACCCACGAAGTTAAACAGGCAACCCTACTCCTTGTCACATACAACCTGGGAATAGAAACCCTGCAAGTTGACTCAATGACAGACCGTATGATACAGCGCAGGGCGCACGTGCTAACCATTCGGCCATCCAACTCCTCGTATAAACTTATAAATAAAATCAAAGTGTGTATGTGGGAATGTTTTATTTCAATAATTCGCTAGTGCGTAGGAGTCTTTAACAGTGGGAGGAAACCGGAGGACCTGGAGAAAACCACACCAGTTGACTCAATGACAGACCTTATGATACAAAGCGCACACGCCAACCATTCTAACCGAGACTCAAAACACCAATTATTCTTTTATCCTGTTGTTTTCTTGGTAAAGATTGACCTGATTTTGAATTGTGATACAAATCGTATTGTACTACCTGAATAGCAATATGTATCTTATTGTGACTGCAGTGGTAATACCCAGCACTACAGTTTGTACATGCATGTGTGTACGTTTATGCTAGGTTCGCACTATCACGATTCATGCTACGATTGAAATCGTGGTTTTAATCATGGAGTAATTGTGGTGATCCTATCAGGTTTTATAATATATTGAAGTCAGTCGTAGCAATTATGTTGATCGTATCGAAACGTATCCTAATGTAATCCTTTAGTGGGATTTAGCGAAACATATCCTGATGTAATCCTTTAGTGGGATTTAGCGATTAGATACATAACAAAACTAACCCAGTTATATGGGACAACAATCAATGGTTTCGATAAGTATGAAAAGAAATGAAATGGGGTTTAACGTCCTACTGTTCTGCTCCAAACTGGGCTAATGAAGACGAGCATACGCCATACAGTGTGCTATGAGGGAAATTTTGCCGGGACAGCGGCACTACGTCCTACTCTTATATTGAATTCCAACTGCCAAGTGATCTTTTACGTGTACGCCAATGTGTACACGGGACCTCGGTTTTTCGTCCCATCCGAACGATAAGTATCCTTTTGTGTTATTTTTTTGGTATCCGAATATATCTCCACTTGCTAGATTGTGCACTCAGTAGGGACAATTGTACTGTAAAGCATCGCACAACAGTGGGAATCTAGCATAACTTACATGAATTTCAGCTCTGTTGTTAGTCTGTCTTCCTGCTAATCTTTTACTTATATTTCTAAAACAAACAAAACGTAAAAACAAAGGATGGAGAAAGAGAAAACTTGAGACTTAAAGCGAGAATTTAATATTTTCTAAGAAATTTAAACATAATTATTTCTATGTCTTTTGCTCAGTAGGTTATCAACTCACTATTATACGATCATAGGTATTATTTTCCACACTTAAAAATCATTGACACAGGAAATAAAAACACAATTACCTCCCTTGTTTTCCTATTCCCCCATGGAATAGCTATCTTCAAACGTTTAAATTTGAAGTTGAAAATGATATTTTTGCCAATTTCTCAACTGGCAATAGTGAATTATAGGATTATTCTATTACAAGGTAGGGCTGTTTATAGATACCATCTATTTTAAGGCTTTATTTTAATAAATTTTAAAAATATAACTTAAAAATATGAAATTGTAACTTTAACAGAGGGCACTTCATTCTGCACACACAGAGCTATCTACTCTACTTCCAGAATAAATCTCTGACCTAAATGGCCGCCATATCCTATAATTAGTATAAATCTATTATACACAAAAAGCCTAATTAAACCTTTTCAATTGTATTAAATGAAAGCAAAATCTCGAAATACGCTTAGTACTTTCGACTAGCTGGGCTAAATGTAGACAGATTTTTCGATTCCCTGGTTGTACATGACAAGGATTAGAGTTCTCTGTCCAACCTTGTGGGTTTTCTCCAGGTCCTCCGGTTTCATCCCACAGCTAAAGACCCCTACGTGCAAGTGAAATATTGAAATAAAATTGAACCATACGTTAGTTCCGAAATGACCAAGTTTGTGTCGAGTGGAGGTCAGTCAATCTCTCTCTCTCTCTCCCCCCCCCACTACAGAGGAATGAACATTATAACAATACCCACCTTTTATCTTTAACACCCCAGAACACACCCATACCTGCACGAGCATATGTTTTACCATTATCAAAACAAGCACCATCAGTATAAACTTCTGCACCATCAGTATAAACTTCTACACCATCATCTTCAAATGCTTGTACTGATCAATATAACAATATAGTGACAATCGAGTGAACCGTTAGATCTAAATATTAAGGCCATGTGCAGATTGCGTCAAGGTCAACCTAATCATACCTTTACCCCTAACTCACAACCCTGTTTACATCTTGTGACTTTGACAAAATCTACAGGTAGCCTTAATTAATTATCCCTATAGATGTCAAAGGGGAAAGAAATACCAGAGTTCATACAACACAATCCCATAAAGGGAGGATACCACTGTGACAGTTAATGAATAAGGGAGAGAGAGAGAGACTAACATATGGTTTAATTTTATTTCAATAATTCGCTTGCACGTAGGGGTCTTTAGCAGTGGGAGGAACCTGTAGGTGCCGAAGTAAAGCCACGAGGCTGGACAAGCGACCTACTCCTTGTCACGTACAACCGGGGATTCGAAATCACGCCAGTTGACTAAATGACAGGCTTTATGATACAGCGCGTACGTGTTTACCATTCGGCCATCTACCCACCCACCCCTAATGAATAAGGGAGTCTTTGTATAAAAGGAATACAGTTTGTATAAATTTAACAGGTGATTATGGATAAGAATTTTTTTTATTTTTAACTGTAAAATTGTAATTGACCCAAGCATCAGTTAAAGACTTCTTCACTTTTGATGGTGGTTCTGCACTTGTACTACTCATAGACCTTTTTAATGGCGTACCCTTATTTGTATTTCTACCTAAATTAGGAAACTGTGTCACTGCAATAAATAACAAAAAAAATCACATGACAATATCCTTATTAAGAAATGAACTCCCGTCTTAATCTATGCTAAAATGTACTCAAATTGATTGTTTAACTAACATTTAATTAAAGATACATTATGGGAGATTAGATAAAGAGCTGGCAGTTCTTACTATAATAGTTAAAAATAGATAATGCAAAGGGAATATGTTAAAAATTTCAGTCAAATTGCTTCCCTCTAAGCCGAGAAAACCTTATTTTAAAATCACTGCAGCCTCGATCAGCATTGTTAAGGATTTCACGATAATTAACAGTCTCGATTATCCATGTTTGTGATTGATCATCAATGAACATCAGATCGGATTCAAATCCACTAAATATCGCGGGCTAGCGATGGCATCAAGACCTGATTATGGTCTGGATAAGTTAATTAATGTCTAATTAATAGTATATAACATTTTCACTTTTACAAACCATAATCTGGGAATTCAAATTTCACATCTTTACCAGTTAATGTTTTATACACAGCTGTGAATGTGTCAACCTGAAGATAAAATATACAAACAAAATTAAAATATGTCTGATATTCCTAATCAAAGTCTTGTTAGCGACAATAGGTCTCCTCAATCCCTTGCTAGCGACAATACGTCCCTTCAATCCCTTGCTAGCGACAATATGTCCAATACACCCCCGTTAATCCATTGCTAGCGACAATATGTCCAATACGTATTGTCAATCCCTTGTTAGCGATATGTCCAATACTCCTACTTCAAGTCACTTGATGTAAATACACGGATCATTAATACCTAGCCAACAACTAGGTCTAATTCTCCTGATAAAATATTAAGTGCAGGGGTACCAAACCCCACACAAAACAAACCTACGGACATGTCACAATATATTGAAACAACGAACATAGATCAAGTGAATGGATCCGGGGGGTTAACCATAATTCTCTGATCGCCAATTGAGGGCCTGAGGAATCCCTTACACATGATACTAACAATCCCTTGCACACGAATTGAATTGACAGAGCCCTAGGCTTTTTCGAGGAGCATCACCCCAAGAAGAACAAGATGAGTAGCGGTTAGCGACCAGTTCATGGTCCAAAAATCCTACTAATCATCGAGAAGAAATATGAAAATATTTCAGCTGGGTTTAAACCACTTCAAATCCACATGAATTGTTGTGCTGATCAGTAAAAAATTAGAGTGATTGTTTTAAAATCATAAAATCATTCAATTTTTATCATCATTTAGCACAAATTCCACAACGAAAATACGGCTCACTCTTTGTTATCAAGACCAACTATACTGATGAAGACCGGGATATGCAATGCATAATTCTGGGGTTGGGGGATGGCGGAGGTTTCACTAAAAAAAAACGGAAGTACTTTCATGGCTATCTTTTGAGAAAGACCATATTTACTTAAAATTCAAAATATCCTGACAATTTCCATACTTGACATACCCTGAAAGTTTTTCTCAGCCAGAGGCCCCCGAGATTTGAACCCAAACCATTGTGAAATGAAATGGGGTTTAATGTCCTACTGTTCTGCTCCTAAACTGGGCTAATGAAGACGGATCGGCCAAGATAATTTAACGTTTAAATGTTTAGGGTCTTGATAAATAAATTGCAGCTAAAGTCACATGTATTTTAGAGAAGATGAAACAAGAAATTATAACGTACTTTGTGTTCAATATTAGTTTGTTGTGTTTTATCTAAATGAACCTTGATTAGTCGAGAACCGTCTAACTTCACTCGAATCCTTTTACCAACGATTTCAGCTGGATAACAAATATCATCTAATAGATCCTCATGTACTTTAGTTAAAGTTCGACTGAAAAAAATAAAATAATTTTAATGAAAGAGAAATGGAGTTAAACGTCCATTCAACACCAGCCTGATGAATTCGGCAAATTCACAAAGTGGAATCGGTTGCAACGTCTTTAACACAAACATTTATTTCTCTACAATTTCATGCACTTGTAGCAAAGAAGGAAAAGGTGGAGGGGAGAGAGACAGAGAGAGAGAGAGAGAAATCGGGTTTAACGTCCACTCGACACAAACTAGGTCATTTCGGGACGAACACATGGTTCAATTTTATTTCAATAATTTGCTTGCATGTAGGGGTCTTTAGCAGTGGGAGGAAACCGGAGGACTCGATGAGAGTGCTTGTGATCTTAACTCGCAACCCCCCAGCAGAGAATGGGTTACCAACCTCTATATCACTTACAGAAAGAGTTTTTTTTAAAGTCAATAATTCATTTAGACCAACATATTAAGGGGGTGGACAGTAGAAAATTTCAGTTTTTTTAATAATTGAGGTAAAGTCACAATTCTTACACATCTAAGAACACATCCATTGAGTATTACAAAAACGGCCGAAAAATTTTCCTGGGGGGTACCTGTTGCTATGGAAACGGCGGCCATCTTGGATTTCTGCGTATAATTTTAGTCATCCAGTTTCTCAGAAACTATTCAACAGAATGTTTTAAAATTAAGCAGAGAGGTTACTGACATGTTCCTTTGTGCAATAGGCAAGTTTCATTACAAAATAATAATTAGAAAGCAAGTTATACACATTTTAATGTTAACTTCAAAATTCTTTCACGTGTCACAGTTGCTATGGCAACAATATATCAGGAACTATTTTGCAGATTTCAAGAAAATTCTCCTATTGCACAAAGTTATTATATAGGAAGTTATATTCCAAGTTTCAAGAAAATCTGACGATAACTTTCAGAGATATAGCATGACTAAAATTGGTAACTCTAGAAAAAAACTGTTTTGAGAAATCAACAACTGAAGTTGGAAGTATTTCATTAGAACAACTTACGCCGATCTTTTCAATTCATTTATTTAATATTAATAAACTGACTTTTAATATATATATTTTCTAATGTATTTCTTATCAATATACAGTATTTTCTTATTTTATTTCTTGTGTGTAAATTTACAACCGAACATTGACATAGGAATAGATGTTATTCAAAACAACCATAACTATATAATCACTGACAGCAGGCCTACCTGGTAATGGTATTGCAACCATACCACTACTAGGTCTAGCAGACGAATATTCATCTTCGTTTTGTTTATTATGAGTGTCTGTCATACTTATTTAGTCATCTAACAATTTCAAACGCATTTTATTTGAAAATCTTCAAAAATATTGATAAACAGTGACGTACGGTTCAGTAATATAGCAACCAGGATTGATTTGGGACATGAGCTTAGTGCGCATGCCTATTGACCTGACCTAGAGGATTGCCCGCTTCTGATTGGACACTTCACCATTGACCTATGTGACCGACCAATCAAATAACGTATTCTCGAAATAACCTCATTAGGTATGCAAAACTTGTTCTTGCTTGCTATTTTTATCTCAATACAGAAGAAAGGTTTCAAGACACCCCCATAAAACGTCATTTCCTTTCAATAGGGGGGATCCCAAGCTTTCTAACAGTATCCAACATGGCGACAGTTTACCGGTCGGAAGCCGAGTATTTCACGTATGAAATGCCTATTGTTTTTAGATTTATATCAATAGTTTTAGTGGAATTAGGGCAAAATAAAAAAGGGTGGGATCATTCAGAACCAAATTTTGTAGAAATAAAGAAGAATTTTGTAAAAAAAAAGACTGGTATGTGTTCCTAAATAGTGTTACTCGCAGATGATCATAAAACCTCAAAAACGATTTTATTGTTAAAATTCACCAAATGAAGTGCGAACGACGGCCTTAAATTTAATTTCTCTAGTAAACTGACTTGATAAAATCTGATGGGCCTTCATTTTTAAATAAATATACAATAAACACTTACAGTCGAGATCTCTGTAATTTCTGTTTTTTACCTCGGTTCTTTTGTTTACAGTTTCTCTGTGGCTGAGCCAAGATTTTTCTCTGTTTAAAACAAATGAATATTAACATTAATATAACATTCAATTTTGGTGATCAATCATACACATGGAATGAAATGGGGTTTAAGGTTTTTTCTCGGTCAAAAGAATACGGGCATACAGTGTACTATGTGGGAAACTTGGCCCGGACGGCTGCCTTATTTCGAATTCCAACTATAAAGAGGTTCTTTTACATGTTTGTCACGTTTTTTTGTGCCTTTCGAACGACTTCACTGTTTCTTGTCATACCCTCAAGGCCTGCGCTACTGAAACACCGGAAGCAAACCCGAGACCACCTGTTAGGGAGTCAGTGCCTTACTGAGTCAGTGCCTTACTGAACCACTGCAGCTCCCCATCATCATACAGGAGATAGGTTTACAAACAGTTATAGGTTTGTCATCATTCTTGAATTGACAGGAGATTCCTTTGTCCATTGGTTAAGGGGAATTATGGGAGATTAGATAAAGAGTTGACAGTTATCGCTGTAATAGTTAAAAACTAGATAATGTAAAGAGAATATGCTGAAAATTTCAGTCAAATTGCTCCACTTTGAAACCAGATAACAGCAATTGAATTTTAGGTCTAGCCTCGATCATCATTGCTAAAGTCGGTACATTAAAAAACATAAGTCTCGATTATCTATTTTGATGTTAAATCATCCATCACAAAATGTATTCAAATCCAGTAAATATCGCAGGCTAGCGATGGCATCGAGAGTTGATTATGGTCTGGATAAGTTAATTAATGTCTAATAATTTAGATAACATTTACTGCCTATTGCAGGTCTTCTTTAGGCCTGAAATGTTTTCTAAAGTATTAATTAGACATTAATTAACTGATCCAGGCCTTAAACAACTCTCGATGGCATCAGATTTCTCCGATATTAAATAGATTAGAATGGTTCAGCAATACTTTGATTTAATCAAATATGGAGGATCGAGACTTAGCTTCGATTTACCAGTACAGTGGTTGAAATTATTGCACACGTCTGTCAAACCTTCAAAGGCTAATATCTTCGCTTGTAATAGAGTAATTTGAATGAAATTTTCAAATTATTCATTTTACATATCTACTTTCGAACTATTATAGCAAGAATGGCTAGTTCTTTATCTAAATCTTACATAATGTGTCTTTAATATAATAGAAATCTACTGTACCTGGGCTACAAAGACGACATGCTTGCCGCTGTATTTCTTTTCCAATTCTCTTACCAGACGAGTTTGGATTTTTTGAAAGTTTTTCAAAAGAATATACGGCACAAAAATAACAATAGCCTGTTTACCAGCAACTTCAACCTCCTGAAATTAACACATAGGATTTATATTAAAATCTTCTAAAAACTGCTTAGCGTCCATTTGAATTTTGAAGCTTTCATCTGTTTTTGGTAACTTGTTAACCATAAACTTAAATTTAATCAAGGGCCATAACTCTAGAAGTAAATGACAGAAATTGCTGAAATTCAAAAACCATGTCAGTTGACTCAATGACAGACCTTATAAAGGACACACATGCTAACCATTCGGCCATCCACCCCCCACCTCCCCAAACTAAAGAAATGTGTACTTACTCTTGCAGCAATAATATGGAGTTCTCTAAGCTGTAGTTTAAGGTCACTATTCGTCTCCAAATCAAATAAAGCCTAACAAAAACAAAATGTTGATGCATTATTTTCTGATAAATTGTAAAGCATTACGAAAAAAAAAATGTTAAAGAGGAGTGAATTTGAATTATATTAGTTTATGTGTCAAATAAAGGAGGCAATTTTTTAACACAATATCATCCACAGTCTTTAATATTGCAAACACGAATTATTTGTCACTTTAAATCTACATTGATGTTGTTATCTTGCTGGAAAAAGATGGGCTTCTGATATCCAATATTTAAGACAAAATGAAAATTTTAAATTGGCCGAAAATAATTGATTAGAAATTACAGTAAAAACAGAAATGATTGAATGTAAATCAGTTTATTATTATGCGTTGTGACCCATTTGTGTCCATTTCTAGGTATCACTTAAATATCACTATCATGAAAAAAGGGGAACATGATATATTCAGTATTCTTGTAAAATCATTGTTTCAGTCAACATCTGCACTATTTCGTATAACAAAACCTAAACTTTCCATGAAAATACAAATTATTACAATTCAAGAAAATTTGAATCATCAAAAGACACTTCTACTTGAAATCTTGTTTCATTTTGAACCGTTTATGAGACATGCTTTTGCTCACCTAACTTTGTTCGGAGCATGATATTAATTCTAACTTCTCTGCACAGAATATATTACGATACTGAAATTGACAGACATCACACATGTTTAATAATAATGAATATTTATATTCAGTATGCTCATGGCGCAGGTTTGTTCAGCTCTTTAAAATAGGATTTAAAATTAGTTTTGATTTAAAAGTTTCCAAACATTGTGAAGTCTTGAGATGCACAGGTAAAGCGTTCTAAAGTTTTGACACAATATGAGAAATCGTCGAAACTCACATACCTGCATTAGACTGTATTCGATATCATTTGGCCTCTCGCCATTAGGCTTGCGGATCTTTGATCTGAAGTTATACATCTAAAAAAAGAAAAGAAAACATTTTACGAAATATTGACAATGTCTAAACCTTTGGAACAAGATCAGAATCTGTCCTCCCAATTTTTTATGCTACTCCTGGTTAAAGTTTTAAACAGGAAATTCCACTCTTACAATAAGTGGTTCGATATGAAATATGGTTTAATACTTTTGGCACCAATCTGGCTATTAGAGACAGAGAGATGGGGTCTAACGTCCACTCGACACAAAGTAGGTCATTTCGGGACTAACACATTATTCAATTTTAGTTCAACAATTCGCTTGCGTGTAGGGGGTCTTTAGCAGTTGGAGGAAACCGGAGAAAACCCATAATGTTGGACAGGCGACCCACTCCTTGTTACGTACAACCGGGGGATCAAAACCACGCCAGTTGACTCAATGGCAGACCTTATGATCTAGTGCGCAGGTGCTAACCATTCGGCCAGCCAACGACACACACACCCCACCCAGGCTATTTGAAGTAGGGGGCCTGTGCCCTGTACATGTAGTGGGTACACCACACACAAAAAGAGGGTGTGACCAGGTTGAAAAATCCTGAGGAAATCTTTCAGCCAACATCAGGATCAAACAGGGGAATTCCCTGTTGGTGAGGGGGACTCCTTGTTAGTGAGACCCTGCCATACTGACTGAGCCAATCCAAGATATCAGCTGGCTGGATATTTGTGACAGCCGGATGAAATGGAGTTCAAAAGTCCTACTTTTCTGCAATGGCTACATTCGGCCAACTTCGCCCTACACCCATACTGTGATGCGGCTACCGGTTTACTTATTAAGAAAACTTGCTGCTTTTGGAAAGGTTCTCAAAATGGCATTGTTTGAAGAGTGTGTAGAGTTTCCATTGCAAAGCTGTTTAAAGAAAATTGGATAAACTTGAAAGAAAAACAGCTTCAGACATTGAAAGCTTTGTATGATGTATACAGTTTCTTAAGATAAAACACTCTTCACAAGCGTCTTCATGGGCACCGCCATTTTTAATTGTCTTCGTGACGTATTGGTCGAATCCAATATACCTGTTGCGGGGGTTGGTTAACATTGAAAGATAGTTTGACAGCGCGATCATTTTGATCGTATATGGGTTTGGGCGACGAAAAATATCAATTGAAGGCAATTACATAGGAGATTTATATGGAAACCATTGATCGCCAGTCTATCAAATTTTCTTCACAATTAAAATATCACTGATTGCACGGATACTCGTAAAAATAAAGTCATGAATAAACTATAAATATCCTATCTTCTTTATGTTATAAATAATTTAACAAGGATCATGAAGCTTACCTCCGAATTCTCTGAGTGTATTTTTAATTTTATACGCATTCTTTCGATCGAATAATAACCGCTTCAGTAACATCTTTAAGAGTGTTGCGGCAGCCCTCAGCGTGTCTATTGCCGTATTGGGTGCCCGGGTGGGTATATAATGCTACTAAGCCCGTATGACCCCGTAAGAAGCGGAACATTAATTCTCGATTCGACAGTTTTGACCGAAGTGTGATAAAGCCCGTAAAACGAATGTATAGTTGTGTTTGTGCGGCATGCGTGTTCAAAAGTAAATAATCCCATCCGAGTCGCTAATCAAATAATTAGAACAAAATATTTCAAAAAGTAAAGCTATAAAATTTGCAGAGATTTTACTAGAATGTAAAAGACGGTAACTAAATACAGGAATGCGGGTAGTTATGTGTGCGAACGCTCAAACTCAATGCCAATTGTCGTAGGTATCCAGACCACTCGGACCAAAGACTACTCGGACTAAGACCAGTCGGACCAAAACAAGACCAGTCGGACCAATTAAATTATATTATAAGGCTAGACAATATGCTATTTATTTATTATTAAATCACAATACAAAGAAGCAAATAATTCTTATACGGAATTCTTATATTTAGAGTTGTTTGGTTCAATTTTGTGTACGTAAATAAATCAACGATTAGTTTTAAAATTAATTAATAATGGTGCCAAAAAAAAATATCAATCTAATTTTTCTTTACTCTTGCAATGAGACTCGGTATGTCCAGACTTTTGACAGTTTCTACATACATGTATACGGGTATACTGTTCTTGTCTGATAGCCTAATTTTACTTTTTCCACATTCGCGGTATCCCCAGTGGTTTCATTCCGTTCTACCCCACTAACCCCTGGGTTACTATATATGGGGGTGGGGGGGGGGTGGAGACACGTTTTCAAGTTATCCGCCCTTGATGCGTTAATATAAACAGCACATAATAATACGAAGACCGGACGTTTATATGCCCCTTTTTAAACGTGACTACAAGTGTGGTTCTCGATATTTTGCGATTTGGAATACAATTATCAATTTATTCAAACAACACGTTATTATTAGTTCGAGTAGTCATATTAAAACACACACAATTATCAATTTATTCAAATAACACTTTATTATTGGTTCGAGTAGTCATATTAAAATAAACACAATTATCAATTTATTAAAATAACACTTTATCATTGGTTCGAGTAATTATATTAAAACAAACGCAATTATCAATTTATTAAAACAACATTTTATTATTGGTCCGAGTCGTCTTTCTGTTGGGTCTGAATAGTCTTTTTGTATGGTCCGAGTAGTCTATTTGTTTGGGGTGAGTGGTCTATCACTTGGTCCGACTGGTCTTGAACCGAGTGATCTTTGGTCCGAGTGGTCATGGATTCTTGTCGTAATTGTACTTGAATTTCCTATGCTGTCACCCCTAATACGAAATGATATCTTTCGCAGAGTGACGTAACCATCTTCCATATTGGTATTTTTCTCTGGGAAAAGTTTGTGATATTTCAATTTTTCAAGAGAGAACTTGTTTTCATCGTTGTGATAATTAGTTGTGCAATGGATTTTATCCAACGGGAGTTCATTACAAACACACAGGTAAGTTTATAATAATCAACGTTAAGTAGTTTGTTCATAATCGAAGAAATCCGTTTAAAATTTACGATGAATCAGACAGTAGACACTGTTACGGCGTTAATAATGATCAAGTATGATAACACACTTTATGTTTTTCATTTTTGGTCCACTTGGTACAGATAGATTTAGCCTGCAATAAAGCACTATGGTCAAAACAGGAAAGATATTGCAGTATGTGAGTATGGCCCCAGAAGTTTCAAAAGATCACTTGTGACTTTAGATCAGTATATTTCCCGATAGACATTTGGTATGCAATAAAGCGGTGTCGTCAAAATAGTCAACGATATTGCAGCATGGCAGCATAGTATCCTTTTGGTCAGTATATTTACCTTGCAAGCTAAACTATCTAGTCAGAAAGATAAGACTTCTCAACTGATTAACTAGCAATCGACATGTGATATTTTGAATCCTGGCGTATTCAATACCGTGCGTCCAAGACAAGAAGGTCTTCAGTGTGAAGAGTGTAATCTATGGCAGCATAGAAAATGTACAGGTATGTATTTATAATTTCACAGATTTTGCTTGCTTTCATTAGTATTGAAACAAGCCAACAGTGAGGCTGATGTCCCCCGCCGAAATAGCAAAATAATTAGATGACACGTATTAATTAATAGAACATTTATTTTTTTCAAAAGTATCGAACAGTTAAACTATAGACTAAGTTTCATCACTGTCTATCAAATAGAATCAAGATTATGAAACTGATAAGCTCTGCTTGGCTTCAGCTCGAAATGTTAATCATTGAACTTAGTCAAGACATTCACCTAATGAACATCTACATCAAGTTTAAACATTCTACCTCAATTAAAAGCAGAGTTATTATGTTCCAAAGTCTTGACCAATCAATTAAATTGCTTATTGCTCCTTAGCCTTAGCAGAAAATTTTCACCATCGAACTTAGTCAAGGTAATGATATAATGAATCTATATTCGGAGTTTCATCTCTCTCAAAGTTATCATGCCCCAAAGCATCAACCAATCAGATTGCTTATCTCTGCTTACCGTAAGCATACAATGTTCATCATTGAACTCCATCAAGGCATTCACCTAATGAAAGCCTACACCAAGTTTGAACATTCTACATCAATTAGAATGTGAATTATTGTGTTCCAATGTCTCGACCAATCAAATTGCTTATCGCTCTGCTTAGCCTGAGTAGAAAATGCTCATGATTGAACTTAGTCAAGGTATTGATGTAATGAAACTATACACCAAGTTTCATCAATCTCACTTAATTAGAACTAAAGTTATCGTGTCCCAAAGCATCAACCAATCAAATTGCTTATCTCTGCTTACCCTAAGCGGAAAATGCTCATCTTCGAACTCCATCAAGGCATTGACCTAATCAACACATACACCAAGTTTGAACATTCTAGCTCAATTAGGCAGAGAGTTATCGTGCCCCAAAGTATCAACCAATCAAATTGCTTATCTCTGCTTACCCTAAGCGGAAAATGCTCATCTTCGAACTCCATCAAGGCATTGACCTAATAAACACATACACCAAGTTTGAACATTCTAGCTCAATTAAAAGTTATCGTGTCCCAAAGCATCAACAAATCAAATTGCTTATCTCTGCTTACCCTAAGCGGAAAATGCTCATCTTCGAACTCCATCAAGGCATTGACCTAATCAACACATACACCAAGTTTGAACATTCTAGCCCAATTAGGAAGAGAGTTATCGTGTCCCAAAGCATCAACCAATCAAATTGCTTATCTCTGCTTACCCTAAGCGGAAAATGCTCATCTTCGAACTCCATCAAGGCATTGACCTAATAAACACATACACCAAGTTTGAACATTCTAGCTCAATTAGGAAGAGAGTTATTGTGTCCCAAAAAGTGTGACGGACAGACAGACGGACAGACAGACGGGACAGACAGACGGACAGACAGACAGACAGACGGACGAACCCATTTTAATAGTCCCCTGCTTTCTTCGAAAGGCGGGGGACAATAAATCATAAGTATTGAAATAAATCATAAGTATTGAAATAAATCAATAAATCATAAGTATTGAAATAATTACATGAGTTTTGCTAGCTATACTTACTCCAACTTATATTCACTAAATTTTATTTAAATAATTTTGTTCTCTTTAGATATATCCCAGGCAGTATATAGAAGAGCGGTGAAAGGGTTGGAAG